ATCAGATAGCTACATTAATTTTATTACTCTACTAATTAATATAATGTTTCATTTGGCGGCTTTTTAGTTTTATGTGAAATGTTAAATGTCATAATCATTACATATTCTGATGATGATTAATCCTTGGACCTCTTCGCCATGTTGGTGAAGTAGATTGTGACCTTCGGGCAATCCGAAAAGCCATAAGCAAAGAAATTTTTTTTCTCGCTCCTTCTTATTGAGCTCTCTTTTGAATCCCACTGCCGCCACTTACAATGACTTCAACCAGCCAAAGTCAAACACGCACGCCAAGTGCGGGCTGGCGAGACTAGTTAGGTTCTTTCAGATAGGCAGTTTTCCTTACGATATTTTCTTTCACTTTTAATAAAATTATTTAATACCGTACATTTTGTGAAAATAAAGAGTTAATCAGCTCTTGTAGAATAACTGATGTAAGTTTTATTTGAAAATATCCTTAGTAAATGGACACTATTTAAACTTCGCTGTTTGATATTTGATTAACATTGCTTTTTTCTTACGGTTCTGTACATCTGTAAAAAATATTGTATGTAATGTATTAATATATAATGTACTGTAAAAAATACGAAAATTGGGCAATTTAAGGTCGCATTTAGTCTATAGAAAAAATTAACAAATATACATACATATTAATTACAGGCTTAATTTAAAGCTTGTAAATTTTCATAATATACGAAAGTCATCTCATAATATTTATAATAGAAATCTTACTAAATCAACTCTATTTCACTTTTTATAACCTAACGAAACAACCAATATTTACTACTTCAAAAACCAGGCTACTTTATAGGTTATATAAAAAATATAGTTTGGCAACCTAAATTGGTGCAACTATCGATATCGTGAGGTTCGTAGGCGTGAAATACTGTTACGATCCCACTTAGCGGTGTGAATGTTTCGTAAGACTTTGGTACCTCAGTGCCAGAAAATTAATCACTTTTAGCATTCTTGAAGCCAGCTCAGAGATCATTCGCACCTATGTGTTTATACGTAGTACATTATAACTGAAAATAACCAATAAAATATTGACTTAACCAATAAATAATAAACGAAAAATTATAACACTATATACATATATTTTACTATACGTATACAGAAAACATGCTGTCGAATTGGTACCTCCTCCTATTTTAAGTCGGTGATGAAATAATATTGTTTTTTTTTTACAATAATCACGTTAATTTTATTTTCAAGATCTAAGTTACCATAAATTTCTTACATGAAAAATGCCACTTTGATAAAACAACATATGACTACCACCGTCTTTTGCTGCTTATTCTCATTTCTTAATTTCTTCTCCTTTCTACATGACATTGGCGAAATAAATTGTGCTCAACTAACACGCTCATAGGTAGTGTGTGCAAAGTAGGGGGATACTTTGCGTCGATATCATAACTCGACTTGGATAAACATTTATTTCAAGGAACTAAATAAAATTGTCATTTTTCCTCTTTTTATAAAATAAATCTGTGTAACTTGTTTGCGCTTCTGAAATAAAATATGATGAATTAAATCTATACATTTAATAAAATTCTAATTGAGTCGATTCTGTACATTAAATATTTCTTGGAAAATCTTATTGAAATAGTCATTATTATATAGTTTTAGAATTTTATCAATCTGTCTGGCTGAGAACGCAACACAAGAAAACCATTCGACAAACTTTGATGACATTTGGCCATGGATCATATTTGGTATGATGATAGCTGGTTATCCAGATAAAAATATAGGTTTTTTTTACTGCGGGAAAATATCTCATTTCTGAGAAATCTATTATACTACTCGTAAAGTTAAAACGTAACTAGGGACGAACCGGAGCGGAGCGGGGTAAGTCGCAAGTAATGTTATATAATTAATAGCACAAACTACTACGAACTACTTGTATTGTTATTAGATACTGGACGTGCAAAACGTTACTTTTATATTACCTATATGTCCAACATGCATCTTTAGTCGAACTTGAACCCACACTCGTGCAGAGACAAATGCTGCAAAATCTATATTAAGTAAAAAAAGAATTGAATAGAAAGATTTATTCTTCTAAAAATGTGCGAACTTTCTTTTATTTTTTGTTCGAAAATAATTCCGATAAATATGAAAAGATTCGATGGTCGTCGCTCGAACGTCGCCGGAATCCAAAAGTAGTAAAAGAACTCCCCAAAGGCCTATTTTAATGTAAATGCCTTTATGACGAAAAAATGGTCCCTTATATGTCACAACGAACATGTTTTTCTTTGATCATATCACACAAATAATGTTCAAACAGCACACTGGCTTGTAACCTGATCGAAACATAATATAATCGGAAGTCGAAACTTGCTTCCTTTGTGTACGAAGACCACCAAACAAAATACCATATTCAATATAGCCTATATTACTAACAGCCTTGTCATCTATAGTATAATATAATAATACTAGCAGTATCCGCGGCTTCGCCCGCGTCCTAACTTCCGATCACCCGCTGGATTATATTTGATGATTATTATTTGTATTTTCAGACCTTGCAGGGACCCACTCGAACATACACAAAAAATATCATTAAAATTGTCCCTGCCGTTTAGGAGATGATCAGTGGCACACCGACTGCAGCGCCACCTACTGGCTCCATTTGTGTTTTTAAACCATCCAGGAGCCCATTGAAATATACACACAAAATTTCAACCAAATCGGTCCAGTCCTTTAGGAGAAGTAGGTTAACAAACTCACGTACAGAAGAATTATATATATTATTAAGATTATAAAGAGAAAGATTTGTTTGTTTGCTGGCACCGAATAAAATCCGAAACTTCTGAACCGATTTAGATGAAATTTTATAAGAAGGTAGTTTAAGACCCCGAGAAGGACATAGGATAGTTTTTATCCCGGAAATCATCCCTTAAGGGGTTAAAAATGTGAAAAAGGGGGTGATTTACTAGTATATGCGGAAAGACTCAAGCATACAATTATTGTAGCATAAAAGTTGATATAATAAATATACATAAATTATATGTTCTATTTCGATGACGCTGCAATATTATTCTATAATTTATATTAATTTTATTTGAATCGGAGAAAAAGGCGTGTTTTATATTTATAATAAATATACTGTGGATACTATATTGATTTTTATCCCATTATTATTATTAATACTGTTGAAATAAAAGTGTGTTTATATGTGTGTTTGTTACTCCTTAACGCTGTAACGGCTTGACGGATTTGGATGAAATTTAGTACTCAGATTTTGACCTGGAGTAGCACACAGGCTTCTGGTAGGCATCTAGGGAAATAATCGATGGTTAAAGTCGCTAATTGCACAATATAAAAAAATTTAAAGAGTGCTTGTATGAATGTGTACACGCGCAAGAAGTAAAACTTCTGTAGGTTATCGGTACTCCTTATGAAATTCAATTTATGTTTTAAATTATTAGGATAGGTGAGATACTAAAAAAACGTGTGCGTGTACTTATGTACGCGCGTAAGAAATTATACTTCTTTGGCGTAACAGAACAAAAATAGCTAAAGATTTCATCTCGTATGTCACAACTCTCTGTTTGTAAAAGGAATGATGAATTTTAATAAAAATAATTAAATAACGCATATTAGGCATATTACAATCATATATTTGTAGAATATCCTTTAAGAAAAGAATATAATATTAATATCATTTGTCAGACAATAACAACGGTTACCATGGCAACAAACGTTTGCCTCGCCCGATCACTCTTCTTAACGCTCTCGTCACGAATTCATCAGCTTACTCGCTAAGTCAAGCGTGCGTAAAGAAGTTTTACTTTAAAAAATACACGTGAAAGGGCCGTGGCTTAGTTGTGGCAATATAAATCTGCCTTACAATCACGTACCACGTCCCTGGCCTTGCCTCACGATTGTATCTCCACTGGTGACTACAGTAAGCACCACTATGCACAATTATTTTGTAAAAACGAGAATATTATGTTTCAATTTATTTCTCCTTGTTTATAATAATTAAAGCTATTGTTTATTATTATTGGATATTGCGTGTATTTTATAAGTTATTAAAGTAGATTTATCCTTGCAAAAGAATTTACGATATTTGCCATAATTGAAAGTAAGGCTTTATTCGCATGAACATTTCAATCAACCCCTGATTTATGGGAAAACTAATAATAAGGAACACTTCACTGCACACACTTGTTTGATATTCTTTTTTTACTGTCAGTTATTTAATTATTAATGAGATAGAGTTATTTCTCAAAATTATTAGTTCCTTAACTAGCGGCTCACCCTCCCTTCGTTAGGGTTCGACCCTTGGTACGTTTTAACGGTTAGTATGAAATAGATAGTCCCTTGCTCTGTGAAAAACAGAAACATATCTATCCCACGGGAACCGTACATTCTTTCGGGATAAAAAGCAACCTATAAGCTATTCCAGACTATAATCTATCTCAGTGCCATATTTCATCCAGATCCGTTCAACCGTTCTGACGTGATTGAGTAACTAATATCCACCCATCCAAACTTTCGCATTTATAATCTTTATGGTATTAATTTTTGATACCCTTACATTTAAGTTTTATAATATTTATAATATTTAATAGAGTTTATTATTTTTTTTTAAAACTATTACAATTTCGACATTGACCTTCTATGATATCAGTAGCAGGAATGAAATACGACTTAAATTAGAAATACCAACGTCCATAACATTTACGCAACAACTCGATAATGGAAAATAATTATTTACTTTACGTGTAGGTTAACTTGTATATGATAATTCACTTGAATCGTTTGAAAAAAAAACCGTTCTATAAAACGCTACGCTCATATAAAATATACATTTTAGAAATCAATCATATATCGTAATTTACTTGTTTTCATTATATTATTATATTTAATTATGAACGGATTATTATGAAATGACCGATATATGTAAATGAAATCGTGAATGGATTCGTACTTACACTGCAATGATGTCATTTTTCCAGGTTACACACAAGACGTCCGGCAAAGTGATGGTACTCAAAATGAACCAGCAGCGGGCGAACCGCCCGAACATGCTCCGTGAAGTGCAGCTCATGAACAAGTTAAAACATCCTAATATTTTGGGGTAAGATATTCAGTTAAATCCATTTTTGAATCTTTTGTTTTCAAAAGCAGGTAGGTACTCGTACAAGTTTAGAAAAACATACACAAACTGAAATCTATACAAAATTCTAACTTAGTCGAATTTGTACATTAATTATTATTTTGAAGAAATTCTTATTGAAATAGTCATTATTATAGATACAGAGGCTGAATTTATAGTTTTTAGAATCTATGTCTGTCTGTCTGTTTGTCCCGGAACGAATCACGAGAAAACCTCTGGATAGATTTTGGTGAAATTTGATATGTTGATAGCTGGTTATCTGGGTCAACATATTGGATACTTTTTATTGCGGAAAAATATCTCACCTCTGAGAATCTATACTAAACGATAAAACGTAACGAGGGCGAGTCGCTAGTATACGGATAGGTATAATGCAAATTTGAAATGAAAACATTTTACCAATATTTGCATAATTTTAGTATTACAATGAATTACCTTTTCTAAATAGTTAATCTTTGTTTTTTTTTACCTTAAATTTCATGTTTCGTTTATTAGATGTACCTATGTTATGTTTATTAGTTTATTTCCACTCTACTTCTCTACTCCGCGCCTTACTTCCTTTTATTGATACTTATTTATTTATTGATTATACAAATACATATGTAAATAAAATGATGCCGGTGATTACAAAATAGCTACCTCTTTTTAGGTTGATTTTCATGATACTAAAGTCTAAGGTAAAAAATAAGGCAAGAAGAAGAGATGGTTTGATATTAATAAGAGGATTTATATGAGCTTTTTGGCATAGCATGGTGTGTACACCAGTGCTAAGCGATAGAGACACCCTAGTCTATAGAGTCAACCATGAACGTCAACATTTAGTTTCATCATATTATTAATTTCATTTTTTTTTTTGTGCATATTATATAATAATTAATTATGAATGCACGTAGTTATATCCAATATTACCAAACTTTCATCATCACTGGCAAAATGTACGACGAAATGATAACGGAACCGGTATTTCCGTGCATATTTACACTCTGCCAATATTGGTGTTATTTATTTATCGTTTAACGAACTCGCCAACCACTCCGCTTTATATTTCATCGTCCAGTTTTGTTTTGAGAAATTGTTCCGAACAAACGTCTGAGACTGGTTACTGGATTACATTATTAAGGATTGCGTCATGCATTATTTATCAGATTGATGGTTATTATTGTTTCTGTCGTCAGTATATTGGTTTGTTACTTTCGTATAAGTATGGAATGCGAATAAATAAAACTTAATCGATTTAATTTGAGCAAAAGGTTTCATTGTTTTCACATATCTATGTATCAGTGGTTTACAAAGGTTTGGCTTAGAAAAATAACTAGATTAGTAGGTATACATATATAGATAGTGTATGAAAGTACGAGTCATCATTTATGTTTTTAAGTTGATAATTTTCAATTGTACTTTGAAATTGATTCTTATTTCTGTCGAACTTTTTGCTAATAAGCGAAATAAGATATTTTAACAAAGTATTCTAACAATACACATTGTATAGTTTATGTACATCATTATGTCGAAATATGTTACTATTCAAAAGAATCTTATTGAAGAAGTAAGAAGCCTTTCATAATTAATTCAAATAATTTTGTTTGAAAGTTATAGTTCTCTATGACTGACTTATTATAAAATAAGAAGTTACCTCATTTTAGTCATTAAGTACCTGGGCCACCGAGCTTCGCTCGGAGTTTTTGGTCAACAGTACAATTTTCTTTAAAAAAAACTTGAATAAAACAAAAAAAAATTATACCTTTTTGGTTGTCAATCTTGCGCCTTGGCCGCTTGACTATGATGCTTATGCCCGAGCGTGCGAAATATTAACCATATTTTGCGTGGAATAATGCGAAAAAAATCCGCATGAAAACTCGAAAACACGCGTTTTTTAAGACATAACACTAATCTACATCGATTCATCGCCCCTGAAACCCCCGCGTACTACATTTCATGAAAATTGTTAGAGCCGTTTCCGAGATTCAGATTATAAATATACACACATAGAATTGCTCGTTTAAAGATATAGGATATTTACTTAACATTCTATTTGTACATTATATTAAATTTTTTCATTACATTAAAACCTCTCTATCCCTGCCGTTTTTACTCTATTTGTTCTTCATATACATTTATTTTTTGACTGACGTAATATTGATAAATAATAAATTTAGTTTTTCAAATAAAATATAATTTAACTACACTGCGGGTTCGCATACAACATTTTGAGAAGCTCTGGCATAAAGCCTCATACGAGAATTGAACCCAATTAATCTCGCATCTTAGGTGCAGTACGGAGTCCAATCCATTCCGCCACGACAGTTTAAGCAATTTTAAAAATACTAAGTATAAAGTGAGACGCGAGACAATAAAAGCCAAAGGTTCTAACATCTCGGGTCACAGAGCTTCAAACGAGTATCGCTATCCACGTAACGTATTACGAAATAATAAACTCCCCAACAATGAATGCACTGTTTCAGTTCATTTCCTGCTCTCATCTTAAATGAAATAAAAACAATGCGGTACTGAAGCGACTGTTGAATAATATTTTTCTTAGTATCTAGAACGGCTAATCACTTTCGTTTCTTTACTGTGCATAACATCTACGTTTTGGAGCAGCCAACGTCGCTTAAAGTTGTACGCGATAGGTTAGGTACATCTAAACGAGTCCATAAATTATACATAATTTGTTCGGCCAATGTTAATACTTGAACTTTTCGAAAATTGAACTCGTGAGCTTAGTGCTTTTCATGAGAATTTCATCAAAATCGCTCCCGCCGTTTTGGAGTCTATAGGGAAAATACATACACATATATATATATATATATATATATATATATATATATATATATATAAATGAAAAATATTTTTCATTGTTTCGTTTTCGATCCTACTGGCTTAGCCCGGATGCTTTTTATAATCAAGTCTATCTCACGGGAACCGTATATTTTTCTGGAATAAAAAGTAGCCTTTGTGTTATTCTGATGCATGAGCTATATTATTAATTAATGTAGTTTCTTTAAAATCTATTCAGTAGTTTTTGCGTGTATACATCCAGATATCCATATATCCTCACAAGCTTTCGCATTTATAATATTGTGATTAGTAGGAAATCAATTGCTTTTTATGGCATTAAAATGGAAATCTCTCGTAGAGACAACGAGGCGATTAAGATCCTGGCAAACTTCACCTACCAGGCAAGCACCACACCGCAAGCAGAAGAAAAACCATCTAGCTCCACCCATAACTCTTAAAGTCCTTTCTTCTTTTATTAACCTCGCATATAATACACTAACCTCATTTGGGTGGACTCTTAAAGTCCACCCGACTCCATAGTTTTGTTCAGCTTTCTTTTTTTTTGTTCGCAAAATCTTTTGATTCTAAAATTATACACGCACGAATCCATCTCAAATAAAATAAAAATAACAACAAAATATAAAAATGCTCAAAATAAGGCACTGACGTTTGTCTATGGGTCTTAGACTTACTCAAATAAAAAAAAATACTTTTTATAAAAATGTATTCTTGTTATATAGAAATGTTAAGATCTTTCTGATAAGATTTTTTCACATAGGTACATAATTCCGTTTATCAAAATTGGATCAGGCGTTTAACTGAGACCTAAAGCAGAAAAAAATGCTTCAGTATTTATTATATTGTACAGTACCTACAAATAACCTGTTTCAAACGAAACACAAAAAGTGCGATTTACAAAAGATTTTCACTTGTACATGACAAGGCATTCATAATAAAAGTAAAGATTTTTATTTTTCTTTTTCTTTAGAATAGTAGGTTTAATCTTGGGTTTTGATGCCACTGGCTTACATTTGCTTTGAATATGCAACTAGAGTTTCTCGACCCTGTCATCTGACAACGTTTCATGTTATTTTTTATGTTATGTTGCGATATATTTCATACGAAATTTTAAATTTTAAAATGTAATCAGAGCGTGAAATTATGAGTGATTTAAAAGCTATTTCATATGATCTTCTAAACGAATTATCAACACTTTTTACTCTATTATATACTTAGGTTTCTCGCAGTGGTTTCGCTCGCGAATGTATTTCTATTGAGCCTACAACCACGAACATGACCCGCGTAATATGCTAATAGAAGGACAAGCTAAAGGTGCATCCCTCGATTTATTTGCACGATTAAAAATTAATTAAAATGTGTAGTGCGTTTAATCTATACAAAGTAAATATTTCATTAAAATCTAAATAGACAGATGAAAAAAATGTTTAAAACCGTTGATTCGACTTCAATCGGAATTTAAAACATTTCCCACAAACTTTATTCCCACAAAAATTGCAATGATGATATACAAATTACATATATATCTATATATACAATGTAAATTGAACCGTAAATACAATGCTTAAAGTTGTTTTCACAAAAAGAAAATTAAATTAAAAGCGCGCTCTAATGTTCCAATGACTTTTCATTCTATGAGGACATTTTTTGTCGCTGATTGTGTATCCTAGTACTATTCTGATCGATGGCTCACACATTAAAATTACCCTATTAAAGAATAATACCAATATATTATTTTTTATAGATATTTTAGTAGGTATTGGACATGTTTTACATTTGTTTATATTAGATGGTACATCTCAGCGTACTTGAGATACAAACAGCTTGCCTCTAGAATCAAGTAAACTTCCTAGGAAGGACGTGTACTTTCACTCGGCTGCAATCGTCTTTGCGTGTGCATCTATCGTTCGCATTTATTTTATTTTTCATGCTACTAGCATTATAATTGGGCCCTCTTCAACACGCCAACTCTTAATTGGCAATTTGGATTGATTGCCTGATAGATTGATAAGCCTTGACACCGGTCTTCTATTTAAGATAATCGTTTAACGACTCAGCTACTTCCTTCAAATTATGTAACATACACAGCTTTTAGATGTTTCTTGGTAATAGAAGTTATGTATCTAACTAATTGAAGCGTTTTATATTTCTCATCAATTTTGTTATACATACATAGCGGGTGTTTTTATTTTTTTCTTAATGAAAACTCAATGGCTGCTTTTTGAATGTTCATTTAGCTTAGATTGCCTTGAAAATGTGACAAATGATGTCAGGACTTCTTGTTTGTTGTTAATTGTTTCTGAACTTATTCGGTTTCTTAAAAAATATACGACCCACTATTCAATTTGCGTCATTTTGAAGCACTAACTTAAAACCAGTGTGTAGCAATTTTTTTTTTCATTGTAAAGGTATTTTAACCCCCAGGCTTTTTATGCCTACTGTTTATATGGAACAAAGGACTTGAACCTCAAAATGTGTTTTGAATGTCGTCTCAAGTGCGGCATTATTTCTGCTTTTGACTTCCCAGTTTTTTCTGTAACCTTTTACAACGTAAGTGTCACACTTAGTCACTACTCGCATCATTTGGGGTTGTACTTAATGAAGACTTTACTTGGCTCTTGTAAACACTACTTGTTTTTGTGTAAATGTGTAAAATATAAGAAGATTGTTCCACATATGTACTCGTACTTGAAGTTTCTTCCAGAAATTTGTTATGGTTTTGTGTGAAATAATAGGTAAAAGTTACAAAAAATGTATAGGGGTGTTGAGATTAACCTAGAAAATAAAGCCAAAATCCAAGCCGTGAAAAATATTATTATATTAACTAAAAAAGTTACAGAAAGCAAACTTAGGTGAATGTTATAATATATAAGTAAAAATAAAGGTAAATTTTCGTTTATGCAAATCTCAGGAAGTAGTCATAGTCGATTACTTTAAAATTACAACACACGTTAAAGCGATCGCCAATATAATTAGTACACATGGATATTTGAGTAGATACGGGAAATATTTTCGCGTTAGCCATTTACGTGGGCCAAGACACGGGCAAAAGTTAATTATTGATACACATTTTAAGTCACTTTGAGTTGTTTACGCTAGCAAAACAATTTGGCAACATTGTCGATTAATATTGGAATATAAAATATTTTAATAGGATAAACTAAATTATGTAAAAAATTCAGTATGCCAAAAGAAGTATTCACTTAGGTATAATAAAATATCTTTAGTATAGAAATTTCTCGTATATACAATTCTTATTGATAGTATCCCTTTTAAACGATTATATTTTCTTTTTTGTAGATTTAGCTTTTAAATAACGCAGAGACTTATCTTAGAAAAGATCTCTTCTATCAAACAATCAGGAACGATTTGACTGATTGAGATCATATTCACACAATATAATTTTGTTGGTTTTGATCCATTACGGACTGACTACACTGACGTCTGACACTCTTTAAATTAAATTGACGATTCAAAAGTGCTTGTAATAAGTCTTATTGAATAAAGTTTAATTTTATTTCGTTGATGTGATAGGAGCCCACGCTACAAACTATTTGCTAACATCAAAATATATTTATATATATATATATATATATATATATATATATATATATATATATATATATATATATATATATTTATATACATTAGAAATCAGTAAAACGTGTTTAGGCAAGTTAAATTTTATATACAAATTTTAAACATATTGTTTTTTATTACAATATAAGTATATTGAAAATATTTCTCGATTTATTTCTCATACATCTGATAATGCAGCTCATTAAACTGTCAGTTTCAATGAATCAGGTATCGGCGGAATTAATTAGTGTGATTAGTTGCTAACACTGACATCTGTAGAAGACTGCTCACGCTTTACGCTTGACGAAGCGTAAAATATCACTTGAAAACAAGATTTTCTGAGCTATTCCAAAGTTATATCAATTGATCTAAAAAATCTATTGTTCAAATGTGATAATTATATACTTGAGTAATATATATTAATTTGCATATTTAATCAGCAATATACCTACAACGTATCTACTTTATGTAATACTAGCGACTCACCCTCGCTTCGCTCGGGTTCGTCCCTGGGTTGCTTCCCCACATAAATTTTTCACCCCCACTTTCACCCCTTTAAGGGATGATTTCCGGGATAAAAAACTATTCTATGTCCTTCCCAGGGTCTCAAACTATCTTCTTACCAAATTTCATCTAAATCGGTTCAATAGTTTTGGAGCCTATTCGATACAAACAATAAAAAAACAAATTTTTCCTCTTTATAATATTAGAATAGATTAGCGACTTACCCTCACTTTGTACGTCCCTACGTGCCTAAAAGTATCGTATGTGCTACACCAGGTCATAGTTTCTGTTTCACCTTGTCATGGTGGGGGGCTCATAAGCGTCCGGCAACCCAGCCGCGCGTAAAACCAAGAGATACACTGGAAGATGGCCCAGTTCGGTGGATGGTGTACTATGCGAGTTACTCCTGGTACCTTATACTTCTTTGATCAGAGTGGAATGAGGGTCCCCTTGGTTGTGTGCTCTGCTGACCTGCCGTCGGGGTCTCCGGAAATGCGGCCGTACATGTTAGCCCCTACACCACCGAGACAGTTTAATTAATTCCATATATTATGTATGTATATCTTTTCAGATTCATGGGTGTCTGCGTACATGAGGGTCAATTACACGCGCTCACAGAGTACATGGAGGGTGGATCATTGGAACAGGTGATACTAGGGATACCGCCCGAGCCCCTGCCGCAGCCTCTGAGGATATCTCTAGCCGCTGACATGGCTGAAGGCATGATGTACCTGCATTCGTTGGGAGTCTTCCATAGAGATCTTACGGCTAAGGTAATAATTATTATCAAAGTTTTTTTTTTTAGATTTATAAAAATTATTCAACCAATTCAGTTTAGATATTGTAAGTCGATGAGGAAGCAAACACTAAACACCGTCTTTGAATATAGTTCTGCTGAGGAAAATAATAGGAATCTCAACAGATGCTCTGTTGAAAAAATATTATTTACATACTTTATTATAACTTTATATGTACTTTCACATCAAAAGGTATGGATCTCAAAGTGTAGGAAGAAAACTCAGGTTATTTTTTTAAAGCATGCAAATGCAATTGCAGATTTAGCGGTTTTTCGTTATGTTCTAATTATTTTATTCTCATCCTGTATGTCTTATCACCACCTATCAAAAATATTTTTTTTCTTCCAGAATGTCTTATTGAAAAAGAATGAATTCGGCGAGTACACAGCTGTCGTAGCAGACTTCGGCTTAGCTGCGAGGATACCTAGTTCGATGTGAGTTTAATAAGTGATTTTTTAACAGTTACGAGTACTTTGTTGACAGCCGTATCGCATAGTGGTTGGCTTATGTGACTCGTAGCTAGAAATCATGGGTATCCTTCGAATCAAACTATAATCGATTCACATTAATTTTATTAGTACGTATAGGATACACTTGCTCAAGCACAACAAAACTCTGTGTTACAATAAAATTAAAATGTATTTTTTTACCTATTAAAAATATACACTTTCCCTAACCTCACACCTAAATTTGATCGTTCGTAACACACCCCATACCTGTCAGTGTTTCAAAGACAAAGGGTTCATTGACTAATTGCTTTTTTATGTGTCTGTCATGTCTGTCGTCTGTAGGTAAAGGGCTTTTTAAATTTACGTTTGTAGTAAAATAAAGTCCTTAGTGGAATGGTAGATGACATAAGATGATAAAATTTGAATGGTACTATCTTTTCGGATTTTTGTACCGTGATCATGATTGCTGTAAGGCATTCGAAATGTCGGGAACCAAAAATCACTATAAATCCGCGAATTAATCCGAAAAGATAGTTTTATTTAAAATGTCAAATTTTCGCATAAATCTAAGAAAATAAAATTTAAATAAGCAAATGTACTTTAGATATATATAAGCATCGATGAAAAAAGTAATAGATACACAATCAGCGACAAAAAACTGTCCTCACCGAATGAGCGCTCATAGGAACATTTGAGCACGCTTTTTATTTTTTTATTTTTTTGTAAAAACAACTTTAAGCATTCCATTTAAGGTTCAATTTACACTGTTGTATATTTATTTCAACTAGAATAATTACCTTAACACAATTGGTGACAGTTTTATGAGAACTTTTGCATGGGATTGTGTCTCTAGTACTTCTTTGATCGATGTATTTAAGATTCTATTCCAAGTGCATAACGAATAATGATACGCACAATGCGTCACGCTATTTCGCGTGCATTAACCGATATTGTGTGACGGAACGGATCATTTGTCAAGTTTGGGCAATTTATCAAGGCGGTGTTTCGTAAGAACCACCCTTCACTTTTATTTACGATGCGTGAACATTGCCAGGAAATACATACCTCGAATTCCATATGTGTATCCTATAATATATATATCATATAATATATATATATGTATATATATATATATATATATATATATATATATATATATTCACTAAAGGTAAAACCTATGGTTTAAAAGAGCGTCTCACTCATTTTTATTACGAGTAGGTATTGTAGTTATAATAATAATGTTGAAATTGTCACATTAAAAAAATAGGTCTCGAAAATATGTAATACAAACACATTAAAAATAGCTTCATGTTGCTTAAAATATGACATATACTTTGATAATTTTGTATCATAGTTTTGTACGCACGTAAATAAAAGACCGACCAATCTCCTTCGTGTCTTCTCTATTCTACGTGACATTGGCGAAGTAATCTGTGCTCAACTGGCACGCTTTGAAACCATTAACAAGAACATTGTATTGAATTAAATGAAAGTATCGAAAAATTATATTGTATAATGTTGCATTTCAATGATCATTTTAGAAAGTACAAAATCACTTTTTAATGTAATTATTCCACCCTTACAGGTGTTTTTTTTAAATTTATGTAGTAAAATAGTGGTGTGAAGTAGACTACATTGTATAAACTATTTATAAAAAAAAAGAATCATTATCTATTCATAATTAGCAAAGATATCACGTAAATTGCACTCCCGAGTCCCAACATACCTGAGTACCACCACCTGAGTAGGTATCCCTCTTTTGAAATCGGTCAAAATGATAATATGTTTTTGTTTTTTTCCAGCAATGGATATAGATTGCCCAGTGTGGGGTCGCCGTGGTGGATGTCGCCGGAGTGCTTGCGCGGTCGCTGGTACGACCACCGGTCAGACATCTTCTCGTACGGGATCATATTGTGCCAACTTATTGCTAGGGTAAGAAGAAATTATGAATTTGGACATTACTTTTTGGAAAATCTTATTGATATAGTCATTATTACCGATATACGAGTATGTAGTATGTAGAGGCACAATCTATAGTTTTTAGAATTTTTGTCTGCCTGTCTGTGACCGCATCACGAGAAAACCAGAGGACAGATTTTGATGAAATTCGGTATGACAATAACTGGTTATCCGGGTCAACATATAGAATACTTTTAACTGCGGGAAAATATCTCATCTCTGAGAAATCTTTACTAGACATTAAAAAGCAACTAGGGACGTACCCGAACGGAGCGAAAGTGTGAATAGCTAATATTTATATATGTACATTTGTACATGAGTTAATTATTTTTATGATAATTAATTATTAGTAACTTCACTTAGATGCCTAATAGTAGCCTAGGTCATAATCTAGCTGTGTACTAAATCTTATCTGTAGGTATACGTCCAACCGTTTCACCTTAAATACATTTATTTAGGTCCGATAGTTTTTAAACAACTTAATACAAGCTTTTAACAACTGTAATGTAATAAAAACAACCTAAATGAGATTGTTTTTTTTTTTCTTCAATATAATTAAATTCGTTAGCCGTATTTATGTATTTATTAACATTTATTTACTTATCACTCAGTATGCAAATTGTCATTTGTATACTATTTTAAAACATTATTTATATTGTTTGGCTTCATATTTAGTTCCGTGACAGTCCCATATAATGCCTTAATCTGAGTACTTAATAAAGTTCCACTATCTTTAACGTGTCTCCATCATATATACTATAATATTATAAAGGGGTAAAGTTTGTGAGTTTGTGACGTTGTAGGGGGTAATCTCCGGATCTACTGAACCGATTTAGATAAAATTTGGTAAGAAGATAGTTTGTGACCCTGGGAAGGACAAAGGATACTTTTTATCCCGGAAATCATCCCTTAAGGGGGTGAAAATGGGGATGAAATTTTGAATAGAGAATCAAATCTTGGTATAAAATCATTGTATTGACGTTCGAATTTGACATATGTACTTACAAAGTTTAATACAAACCTACTTGCAAATCGGTTGATCGAAAAATCGATACGATAAATAAAAATATATGATGTAGATTAAAAGCCAAGATTTCATTACATAGTTACAAGCAAAGCAAATAAAATCATACTGATAAATGTATTAAAATACATTTAATACTTTTATCAAATAATATTAATATTAATGGATGAAATGAATCATTTATTTTATTTTTCAATATCAATAAATTTATATACTATCTGAGAATACATATTAGTATTAAAAAATAGGCAGTGGTAGACCGATGGCCGAGTGAAGCGGGTTCAAATCCCGGGTCTCGCGCCTGTGATAATTTTATGTGCGAATCATCTCGAACTTGATTAGCACTTACGGTGAAGGAAAACACCGTGAGGAAATCTGCGTGTCTGAGAGAACCTAGCAAATTTTCGTGAGACAGGTGAAGTCCGCCAACCCGCACTTGGCCATCGTCGTAACTTATGCCTGATATGGGCCTTGCCTAGCAGTGGGACGTTAAAAAAGTCTGAATACGAATACGATTAAAAAAAATAATGTACAGATATGAAAAAAATATGGATGTAATTAAAAAATTTTATTGTTTAGGCGGTATATCCAATGATTAAATGTCTTTATTCCATCTCATAGTTCAAGACTGAATCATACTGCCTAACATAGTGTGTTATAGTGTGTATACAACCTGTGTTGAAATAGTAGACAGTCACGGCGAGATGATTTTTTTCTTGTTATTTAGGTTGAAAACTGTAAAAAATTTCAATTTGACTAATATTATACATGCAAATGTGTGTTTGTTTCTTCTTCACGCTGTAACGAGTCAACGGTCTTGGGTGAAATTCTAAATAATTATAATAATAATTATTATTTAGTTCTCATATAATAAAGCTACTGATCAAAGTTAATTAAGTGAAGCTTAACAAATAATAGTATTAAAAGCTTTTGTAAGAGACTGATGTCTGTACTAGGCATCAATCAAAAAAGTACTTAGTAGATACACAATCCCATGCCAGTTCTCTTTGAACTTTTAGGTAATTATTCTAGTTGAAGTAAATATACAACAATGTAAATTGAACTTTGACTGCTTAAAGTTGTTTTCACAAAAAGAAAATTAAATTAAAAGCGCGTTTAAATGCTCAAATGAGCGCTCATTCGGTAAGGACATTTTTTTGTCGCTGACTGTGTATCCAGTACTTTTTTGATCGATTGTACTAGGTAAAAAAAACTGTATTAAATATCACCAGAGAAATGGAGATAGCTTCTATTCTAGATTAAAAGACAGGGTAATTTTTATCAATTTACGCGAGTGCTGCCGTGGAAGAGGAGCTAGTCAAATATGCAATATACCTGATAGGTTTGAGAAATTATTCTCATTTTTTTGATCAAAGTAAATTTGACCAATCACATAACACCGTTACTACAAATATATGAAGCCCTAGATAGTCTGTCTATCTATAATATAATTAAGTTCTTAATAAAATTCTTTAGCTTATGTAAATAACGTAAAAGTAAAACCGCGAAAAATCACTAGTGGTACATAAAACCAGTTTTAACGGCGTAATTGCGTGACTTGTATTCTATTATAATAATTAGCCGCTATGAACATATTATGATAATTTAAATAAGTAAGTTAATTATAAACTCGCATAAAAATATAACGCATTTTGTGTCCTCGAGCTATACTAGGATGGTGATTTTGCTGTAATATGTTTAGAACAGATATAATTTAAGACACGAACTATGCTCAACTGGTCACCCTTCACGTATCTTCTTACTGAATGTAAAATATTTTGTAATAAATATAAAGAAATTTGTTTCAAACGGTTCGCTTATGAAATACGGTCAAGAGTACTGTGTACCGTTAATTTTTTTTTTGTCCGTCCATATATCACACTCTTTCCAGTATCTATAATGTTATGTCTCACTCTACCACACCGAATAACTTACGTTACTCTGTTAGGCATTTTACATTGCTCAAATTATGATCAAATTTTAAACTGTGTTTTATAAACGATTTTCGCCAGCTACCTAACTTTTGCATGTTGCTTATACTTTACACTTTAAATAAGTATTGTGTAATACATTTGATGAGCTATATGTATCTATCTATAATAATAATATAAAAATCGATGTCTGTATGTATGTATGTTCCCTGTGGATTCTAAAAACATTTTGATGAAATTTTCAAGCAATCTTCAAATTAGGCCAGCGGGTGATCCTGTGAAGTTTGGTAGCGATCGGAAGTTTGAACGCGGGTGAAGCCGCGGGTACTGCTTGTATCCTATACTTACCTATATAACATAATTTGCAGGTGGACGCGGACCCCGACGTGTTGCCACGGACAGACAATTTCGGTCTTAATTATATGGCATTTGTGGAGCTTTGCGATGAAGACACAGTTCCTGATTTCCTTCGACTCGCTTTTAATTGTTGCATTGTAAGTGTATTCACTGTATCTTTTACATTGAGTACTCTTTTGTCTAGATTTATTATTATAATTATTTATATCGTTTTTGTAGTGTTTTAAAAGAAAAAAGTAGTTGTTTTTGTATAGCTTATGATGTCACTCTACAAACACGAGAAAATTGCTAAGTACCAATTGTTGAAAATGATTTAATAATCATTTTCAACAATTGGTACTTTTTATACTTTTAATAACTTGACGATTAAAACAAAACAAATGTAGCTATGTGTGTATGTATGTACATATTTATTGTAACGTTGGTTGGTCATTCCAGTACGAGGCCAAAGCGCGGCCGCTATTCCCGGAGATAGTGAACAAGCTCGCGGAACTGAAGGAGGGCCTCGACGACGCGTGGGACTGCACGCCGAACACTTCATACGACAGGTTAGTTTATTTATGGAATTGAGTGATGCCCGGCAGATGTGAAACATCTACGATAGCGCCTCCAGGTAAATTTCTAAGAAATTAATTAAATTTCTAAGAAATCTATTGTTAACTGTAACGCCGGCGTGTCCACGGTCGTTGAGGGATTAATATTAGTATTCATATTCATAATTAATAAAAACCTGTAATGAAAAATGCAATGCAATGTAAAATAAAGAAACATTACGCAGCTCACATAGAAGCTACAAAGTGTATAGTACACGCGCGCGCAAACACAAACGAGTTGAGAAAAGAAAGATGGCGTAACAGGCATGAATATCAATAATTTTATTTTAGCGAGTCTTGCACAATATTGTTAATGCTCAGACTGTATTTTAAACGTATCAAGAAATATAATATGATAATAATAATAAATAATTATAAATATGTTGGGACATTAACACACCGCACCATCTAGTTCCATGGTAAATTACGAGGCTTGTGTTATGGATACCAGGTAGTGTAGTGTAGTGATAATATACATATTATAAATAAACACCCATGACTAGAGTACAAAAATTCGTGTTCATCACACAAATGAATGCCCCCAGCGGGACTCGAACCCGCGACCGTTGGCACAGCAAGTAGGGTCACTACATATCGAGCAAAAATATGAAAACTATCTATTCACTGTATATAGTGTGTGGTCTGTATGCAGCGAGGAGGCGGACTCGGGGCCGCGCTCGTGCCCCGGCCTGTCCGCGTGGCGCCGCCCCGCGCGCCTTCGCAGCGAGGGCAGCCCGCAGCCCCACGCCCACACCCACGCCCACACACATACACACGTGAACGCCCACGCTCGTGACCGTAAGTTGATTTTGTATTGTTTTAACGTTATCAAGTGATTTCGAAAAGAAGTTAAAGATAAGGAAATAGTCGCAGCTATTAATCGTTGAAAAATAACTTTTAAAATAATTTTGAAGTTAATAAAGAAATGACTGTTCCATTATGACCCATGATCCTAAGAGTATCATTCAGATAGATATGAAATATAAAATGTTGATTGCTTTTTTTAATGTTCACTTATATGTAGTTGTATAAATATAAACACGAGGTGTTGTCGTCGAGCAGGAGGAGCGATCCACCGGCGCTCGCTGTCGGAGCTGGAGTGGGCGTGGCGCGGCGGCGCGCGCGCGGCGCCCCCGCACCGGTCGGCGGGCGCGCTGCCCGCGCTGCCGGCCGCGCCCGCGCCGCCGCCGCGCCTGGCGCGCCTGCTGCGCCTCGCGCACATCATGCTGCTGCGCGACACGCACGCCGCGCCCGCGCCCGCCGCGCCGCGCCTGCACGCCTACCGCGGCGTGCACAAGATCCTCGAGCCGCACCCGCGCTCCGCGTCCGGCGACGCGCCGCCCTCGCCGCCGCCCAGCCCGCCCTCGCCCGCGCACGCGCCGCGCTCGCTGCCGCCCTCGCCGCTGCTGCGCCGCCGCGCCTCCTGCGAAAGCGGCATCTTCTCCGTCGCCAACGAGGACCTCGCGCCCGCCGGCGCCGGCGCCGTGTGCCCCTGCAGCCTTGGCGGGCTGCCAGCGCTGCTGGTGGTGGCGCCGCGACGACGCGTCCGACGACCCCGACGAGCCCCGCCTGCGCGTATGCGCCGACTGCCTGCTCGTGTACGAGCGCCTGCTGCGCCGCCGCGCGCCGCCCGCGCCACCACTCTGCGCGCTCGACGACTCGGCGCTGTCCACGGCCGTGAGCTCGCTGCGCAGCCTGGACGACGCGGCGGACGACGCAGCGTGCCTGTGCGGCGGCGGTGCGGGCGGCGGGGAGGAGGCGCACGTGCTGGCGCGCTGCTGCTGCGGCGCGGGCGGGCTGCGCTGCGGAGCGCTGCACGCGTGGCCGGCGCGCCTGCTGGCCGCCGCCAAGCGCTCGTCCAGCGTGTACACGGACAGCTCGGAGGACGTCGCGTCGCTGGGCTCTGACAGCGTGTGCGACGAGCGCGGGCCGCGCCACGTGCGCGCGCCGCACTCCGCGCAGATAGCCAAGATCGTTGAGTACTTCGAGCGCAAGGGCGCCGACTTCAGGGGGCCGCTGCTCAAGTCGCTCCACTTCGGCAAGGAGCGGTGCGAGCGAGAGTACTTCGTGGACGTGAAGCACTGCGGGGCCCCGGCGGGGAGTGCGACGGGGAGCCCGGCGGCGGGCGCGGGGGGCCCGGCCGGGGGAGGAGGCCGCAAGTGTGCGGCGCAGCGGCTGATGATCTGCGAGGGTGCGGTCAAGTCGAAGCTGCCGCTGTTTGACAAGAAGTCATAACGCAAAGGATACGATTTCGAGAGACGCTCCTCGATATTCAGATAGGATAGTGCGCGGCGCGTGACGAGACATGACGTCGAATTGACGTGACGTACGAGCAGTAAAGTGACGTGTGACGCGACGTCACAACGCGTGTGTCAAATCGGAATCGATGACTTCCAGTAGCGTCGTACCAGAGGATATTTTTATTCAGAGTTATAACGGGCGAGAGAGAAAATATTCGATTTAATGAAATGAACTATATTATATTGTAATATTCGTTAAGGCAGTATTGTTAAGGCTAGTGCCAATTTGTATTGGATGGGTGACAATATTGAATAAAAATCAGTACTCCCGGTGGAACTGAGTCGTTGCCGACACCCATTTACCTGTACGACATTTTTTGTCAAATATGAACACTAATTACAATAAAATCCATCGAAATCCATCAATTGTTTGAAAAATGGGTTAATGTAGAGCGACTTTGTTCCAAAAGGGGTGCGAACCATCGATATCACTGGACGAGCAGATCTCTCGTCGAGTGAGTCGAGTTTGTTGACTGAGTAAACTAAGCATTTGAATTCGTAACTGAACTTAGGGATATAGAATATGGAGTAAGAGATAAAGGCGATATTAGATGGTCTTGTGTCGTACGATACGTGGCCTATCCTTTATTTTGGGGCCTTGTTTTGTAGATTTTAACCCAGGATCGGATAGCTATAAGTATTGTACTTTTCTTACTTAACTTGGTGTTAACTGTTGTAAATAAATCAAAAATATTTATAATTTATATACAGTATTATATTATAACTTGCCAGTTTATATAAGTTTGTAAATAATTTTCAATGCAAAAAGCGAGCGGTCGCGTTCTTTAATTATTATTTTTTTTTGGTTTATTTATAACTTATTTAGTGACAAAGTGTTTGTTTATCGTCAGTCATAGTTCTTTTTTTATACAATACTTTCTTTTTAATATTCATATATCATTATATTTATTGAATAATGCCACCACATATACTATTGAGGGCCGAATTCGTCCTAAAAATTAAATGAAAAAATTATATTACATATATCGTGGCACGCGTCTAGTCCAGTTCAGTCGTGTCGCAGTCCGTCGATTTATAGATAATATTTATTTCAAAACATAATTATTTATTAGTAATCATATATTGTCTGTTTGAATTACGGCCGTTGAGTTGCTCCATGTATCCGGCTAGAAGGACCAAATCTCGGTTTCTTTCATATTTCCTCATAAATCTTGCTTTTTATCGCTATTTTTATTGAAAATATCGCGTGTCCAATTCGAATTCGATAAATGCTTTATTCGAAATGTCTTATTTCTTTGTTTAACGCTTTACGTTTTGAATTAACTATGTACAAATAAGTGTCAAATCAGTTCCAGGTGATGTCGTTGTAGACGATTATTTTGATGGGTTGCCAGTTTCAGTACAAACTTTTTATTTCTATCTTCAAATAGATTATCGACTTTATTATCTATTAATATTTTTAAGCATAATAATATGCCTTATTTTGTTCTTTCAATCTTATTTATTTATCTCATCGACAACTCATCAAAATATATCGACTCCCAATACAAATAGCAAAAATATATTTTTGTAAATAACATTGTAATGGCATAATATGAATATATTGCGGACATTTAATCGTTTTACATCAGGGTATTTATAAAGTGTACATAGAAAGTGATAGGTCGTTTAAAATCGATATATGTATCTCTAAATTAACGTTTTCTTAAAAATCGATTTACAGCCCCTACCGTGCGTTTATATCGCAAAGGATAAAATAATAATTCACTAACGTAAATGAAATTTTCGTGTTGAATAAATCTATGTTTTTTAATTATAAAATATAATCGATATCGCGATAGTTTTAAAATATGTACATTTTATTGCTTTCAGAAGCAAACATAAATTTTTACAATATGACCAAAAAATGTAATCATTAAATAATACATAATAATGACGCCAAAAAAATTTTTTTTAATATTATAGATACTGCTTTCGCTAGTTTCGAGTATCGAATGTGACTCATGGTAGGGGTTTTTGTGAAATAAAAATACAGTGCCAAATAAAGTTTTTTATATTTATCAAAATCAAACTATGTTTTTGAGTTGGTGTTGAAACGTTAGAGCCGTCCTATTGATAATTCTGTCTCGTTTTAACTCGACCGTTTTGTTTACCTCTCACTCAAGTGTGTAAAATTTCATTTAAAAACAAATGAATTTAAAAGAAAATACTCGCATAACAATATTTACTGCAAATATTTATTTCCAAAAGCATATTATATTTGATTAAATAATATATATAATTACATAATTATTTGTCAAGAATATCATGCGGATGGCGAAGTAAATTTGGTCTTTTTCCGTTCTTTATTTAATTTTTTCTGGTAAATAAGCAATTTTATGTCCGTCCAAGCAGCTATAACTTATTTCAAAAGTCTATCAATAACACCCAATGCAACTCATTGACAAACCAATAAAACGTTAATTTAAAAAGAAACTTGTTTAAACCTAGGCGATATGTATAATATTATATTGTAGAAACTTGGTGTTGCCATTATACATACTTATACATTTAACTATATTTACGCTATATTCTTTACAAAATTTAAATAAAATATTTCATTCAACACTTAATAGTGTTGTTTAACTAATTAAATTATATAATAAAATCTATGGCCGTCGGTAACGTAGCGTAATTATTTTAATATGGCAATAATAAAACGTTTTGCCACGTACTTACGTGAAGACAAATGTTTTGCGACTCACGAATATCAGCGAATATGTTAGAATATTTTGCACATTTTTATTTAAGGTCTGCCATTCTTTTGTTCAAACAAGTACTTTAAAAAGTATTGGCGGAGAGTGCATTGTCCACTATAAAGTAACAGAACTAAAATCAACCTAAAAATTTTTTTTTTAACTATCATATTATAATATTTATTAAATCTAGATTAAAGTATCCATACACTATAATACAATAACAATTGTTACCATATCTCATTATTTGGTACTTTTAAATGTTGATATTAGTTCTAAATACAGCCACAAAGGAAACTAATCAACGCCAATAAAAGCTACATCGATTTTGCGAATCAAGAATATCGATCATTTTTAAATGTGCAATTTACTCGATTTGTTATAGAAATAATATATTTGTCAGATGTACCTGTTAAACGATACACAGTAAGTATGTAGATATTGTGCAATAGACGAGTGAAAATCGACTGATTTAGTCTGTTTGTGAAAGTATAATATCGATTCAAAATGAAACATTCAAGCATTAAGTATATATTAATTTAAAAAAGTAAAATCTTGTATCCTTAATAATAACAATTTAAACGGTACTTGTATGCTCTTAAACGAAAGCTTTTGTTTTGTTTCTTTAATAGTATTCATTAATATAAATAGAGAAACGAAATTAAAATATAAAATCGATTCTTAAGATAAATTTCGCAATTCGATTTGCTTTTTTTATCTTACGTTAAATAAATTTAATTCACCATTTATTAATTCAGATAGTATAAGGTGATTTATTATCGATTAAATAAATTAAAAAAGATACAAGAAATATAGTTTTTGTTTTTGATTATACTTTCACAAAAATATTTCCAATTTAACGTGTAACTTTCGTCAATTATTACTTTAGTAATGTTTCAACACTAACACTTATCTATCTTCGTTTTGAACAAAGTTACACCCAATTGAGCATATCAGTTTCAAAATATGTGTAGGACTAGCTATTTTTATAATAATTATAGATTAAAAAAACACGAGAACTTCTAAAAGAATAAGTAATTTAATTTTGATTTTTTAATGGACGTTTCATATAGTGGCAACACACATTCTTTTTAGAATGACTCGTGTTTTTGGTTGTATAAGTTTTACAAAGTCGCGTATGTATTCACTGGTACCATGTCACAATAGCCAATATAACCAGTAATATACAATACATAACGATTCAATGATAGCGTTAGTACGACATGGTTCTAACTGATATACATATACGTTAGACGTTTGTACTATAGATCCTAACGTTCCTTGTTTTAAGGCACTAACGTTAATATAAGACGTTTTGTTACAACGGTTGTGTCTTCAATTCCGTTTCGTGATTACGATTGACAAATCGATTAACTATAATCGATTTCTACGAGTATTCTGTATTATGAAATTTCTTTAAGCCCAGTGATGTCCTTTGATTTGACGATTTAAATCGATTATTATCGATAAGGACGATCGTAATCTCGAAGCCAGACTTGCAATAGTTATAGTTAGCCGACTGAGGCAGTTGAAAGTAATTTGTAAATGAAAGGTGGTATTAATAAATATATTTTGTTTCAATTCGCCTATTATTTATTTCTTTAGATTAACTAAGTAAAATTTTAGGCTTGTTAATTATTTATTAGTAAATTAACATATTGCCTCTCTTGTGCTTTAGTCAGCATCATTAACTCTACTTGAAAAACCTAAACACTACATGTCTACAATAGGAAATTGTAATACATACTCTTTGTTAACTATTATGTAAAAAGATTAATTTACGTTCAGAAGTTTGGAAAAAAAGTTTCAAATTAAAGTTGTAGGTAATTAAAAAATCTATACCTTTGATTATTAGATAAAATTGCATGTAACGGTTAGGGAGACAATCGCGAAAATGCGACGAAGATAGCGAAATTTTTGCGTATCTATATGGATCTAAAGTCGGTTTATCAACAAAGTCAAAATGAACGAAAGAAGTTTCGTCTTTAACTTTTGCTTAGACATAAAGGAGAGATTATATTATCAATAGGTCTTATCACATTGCAAAAAAATTATAAACTTGTGATAATACGAATACGTATATTTATAATTATCAAATATATAAAATTCTCAATTTAGTCCTTGCAAATACACAACTTAATTTGTTTTCGTGAACGTTTCTGAAACAAAAATTCAGTTTAAAGAAAAGTAGCTAATTACATTACAGATGTTTATAATTTACTAGTATTAATGTGTTAAAATTTAAAAATTTCTTTGTTGTTTTGCCCTTCTTTTAAGGTGACACAGAGACACTATTTATTATCTGTCAAAGTATCATCGCATTGCAAAGTTATTTTGGGTCAGGGACTTAACTCTATAATTATATGCCGTCGACATTCGACTGTCGCCGTATTATTCCGCGGCTCGCAGGACAGATCTTTGTAAACTACATAGATATGAATAATATTCGCCCCAGTCTACAGTCTAGTCTAGTCAGTCTACAGTTGGTTTTATCTATAAGAAGATTACATATACCTACTTATGTATATATGCATACCCGTTTCACAATATGCCTATCGCAAGATTTAGTTTTCCATATTAAAGATTTTAGTTTATCCAAATTCTTGTATAAAAGTGCCAATAATCCCATAAATGCTGTACTGCCCAAAATAGGTAGCCATGGGTTTCCTTCTGAACCTCCCCAACCAAAAATATGCCAAATACCGGTGGGTGTAGGCGTGGTTTCCTCCGCCGCTTGCAATTTGTTTATTCCTCCTTTCTAATTCTTCAGCGCTAAATATATATACTTAATGTTAAATTAATCAACTAAATTAATTATATAATTGAATAAAAACAACTATAGGTAGGTACATAAATAAAGTTCGACTCGACAAAATTGTTACTAGTAATCTCACTCATACCAATCACACATTTTTATTCCTTTTCTTACGGTGAGCTGTAAAATTTTGGAGACATGCCATTTGCATGTGTTTTTATTAATTTAGCCATTCTTCACTTCAAGAATTCAAGAACCAGTTATTTGACATTTTTTGACAAGCGATGACAGAAAGATGGCGGCCTATGTTGTTGTTTACATTTTTCTATTTTTCCTATGAAGTTGGCACTGAAATCACTTCAAAAATATAATATATAAACGATTTTTTTGCAATTCGTTTACATAATTATGTACCTGTATGTTTATGTAAAATACAAAAAATACATATTTATCTATTTGCAACGTAATAAATAACTATTATTTGGATTGATTAAGTTATAATTAGGCATAAATGTATACATACAATTTTACGATAGTATACTAACAAAATCTTGGCCGTCCTTCGGGCACGTGCATATATATTCTGAAGCACCGAAATTTTGATTACAACCTTTTGCATAGCTGGGCCGCGGACCAGTAAAGAACAGCTTGTAGAGCACCGCGAGTAGACCGGCGCCGACAACCACCCCCGCGACTAAAGGCACCCAATTGTCGCGACTACTCATTATTCAGCCTTATGATAGATATCAAGGATATATAGAAACCTGTAGGAATAACTAACTATTAATGTTCGCTCACTCCTGGTCACGTTATTGACAGATTGTCTGCGGACTATGGCCTGATCACCCTCGTATCGAAGGGCGGCCTGTGCCCAGCAGTGGAACATTAAAAAGTGCTGAATACAAAATTGTCTGCACTCATCCACACGGTAAATCAATCTGAAGTTTGTATCGAATAGATTTAAACAAATACTATGAACACTACTACAACTGCAACTTATACTATATTAGTCTATTATACAAATCCGTTGTCAAAAACAACGTATCGTGTAGCGCTTCAGCCCGCATCTCACCAGAAACGCGTGGGCAACAAAAGACCTCAAAAATTTTTTTGGAATAGTTTCGCTCAACTTCTATAAAATATTAAACAGAATACAATCCGTGTGTGCACATATTTAGGTTTAGTGGTCAAAGATTTGCACGTTTATAAGCACAACAAAATTAGACATTTATAATATAATAGATGAGTACCTGGGCGACCGAGCTTCGCTCGGAGTTCTTTTTTGTTATATCGTATTTTTTAAATCAAAAGCGTGCGAAATTTGCGACCTTATTTTGCGTGGATTAATGCCAAAAAAAACCGCATGAAAACTCGAAAATACTTACTCGTTTTCTCAGACATGAGACTAATCTAGATCGACATACCAAATTTTAGCGAAATAGTTAGAGCGGTTTCCGAGGTCGCCGTTATAAATATTTAAATAAAAATACAAGAATTGCTCGTTTAAATATATTAGATATAGATTAATTATATATACAGAATTTAAAGTGTCTCACCATTTAAAAAGATCTATCTATATCTTCAAATAAAAATACAATAATTAAGACCAAATGTATTGCTAAAGTATTCAAAGGAGAGTTTTCCAATTCAGAATATCATAATATTTTAGTTAGATAAAAATATATAACGGGGTAAAGTAAAAAATACAAACTTTTAGACATTGTCAACCTCACACGTCTTCTATGACATAAAATATCTCTCAAACGCCACATAAACTATACAGTTCTTAATACAACTCATAAGGCAATCTTTTATCTATATATATAAAAGAAAGTCGTGTTAGTTACTTCGCTTATAACTCAAGAACGGCTGAACCGATTTAGCTGAAAATTGGCAGGGAGGTAGTTTAGAGCCAGGAGAAGGACATAGGATACTTTTTATCCCGTTCGACCGCGTTCCAATTTTTATGATATTTTAATTTTTGGATTTCTCTTAGTCCGGAATAGGTAAGTATTAAAACATATAATTAAAATGTGAGAAAGAAAGATTTTTTCTTTTTATATCTATTTAAAACGTACCTAGCGACGAACCCGAGCGAAGCGAGGGTGAGCCGCTAGTAGGCCAATAAAGAAAAAAAACATTCAATCTTACCTAATAATAATGTCCTCATCATGGATTTCGGCCACCGCACACATTCATCAACATGCTTGTGATCAAAATTGTATTGTTAATTCTTTGCCGGGATAATTTTCTAATTCCATTACATCAAAACAAAAATATATTTTAAAAAAAGTAACTCGTTAATTATGTTCAATTTCATTGGGTCGTAAATTCTCTATATCCGATACAAAGCGATTAGCAATAAAGCCTTTTTGAAATATCAATAATTTTTGTATTTCCTTCTGTCGTACCTTTTAAGTTTTAACAGTTATCTTTAGTTATTAGTTATCTCAGTTGGTAGTTATAGGAAATGTCTGCTAGAAACATCGGTTATTACTCAATTAAAGTCTAATTCTAATGGTACAAACTTAGATTATTTATATGTAATATATGTATAACGCATATACTTAAATAATCGAATGGTACAAAATCACAGGGTGCAATTGCGACTCGCATTTGATCTTAGCTTTTTATTCTAACTAGTGACACCCTCGCTTCACTCCCGTTCGTCCCTAGGTACGATTTAATTTTTTTGAGCAGAACCCTAATTATTTTTCTAAAATAAAAATAGCCTATGTATGTTACTCCCTATAACAGCTACCTTCCAGTCATAGAGTATGTTGCTACTTGTATAAACTTCCAGTGATAATCACGACAAAAACAGTCTAGCCGTTTCATAGATTAAACGAAACAAACAGACAGACAGGCAGATAAAAAATAAAAAAAAGTGTATTTATTATAAGTACCGTAGGTATTTAATTTCATATGAATTTAGTAAAACGCTGTTATTTCGACATTACAAACAGACACTTCAATTTTATTTATCTGTAAAGATTATACACCTAAACCTTCCTCATGAATCACTCCATCTATTGGTGAAAACTTTGTGAAAATCCGTTCGCTGGTTTTCGAGTTTATCGCGTTAAGGCAGACAAACAAACAGACGCGGCGAGGTACTTTATTTAATAATATTTAATATTTATACATTAATTACAAAAGTGATTTAGAATGGAACACTGAAATTAATTAATATTGAAGTTTTAATGTATACCTATATAGGTTTATTATTATGTAAAATATAGCAGATTCCAAAAGTAATGTTTTTAAAAACATTCGTACCTAGTTGTAAAGAAATCGGACGTCCGGTAGAAAAAACGGATGTCTACAAGCGGCTAAACGATCAAGTAGAAACTTTTTGTATTTAGGTTTTTATTTGTCATCCATGATTTAGGTACCTACTTTAGTCTTTACTTCACACTCCAGTGCTACCAGACTATAAAAAGGTTCTTTTCCAATAAAATTATTTGACGATTATTGAGTATTACCCAAATTAAAAAAATATATTTCACAAAAGAAATAAATATATTTTTAAGAGCTTACATTGCTCTGTTATTATAGACTATCAAAACAAATGTACCTAAAGTAACAACTTCTTATTAAAATGAGGACTAAAATAGACAATGTATAAATCAATCGAGTATTAAATTTTTGCCGTATATTTGTCATACAAATATTGTAGCAAACATTCATTCTAGAGTCTAAATCTAATAATTGTCAATATTATGTGTTTCATTCAAATTTACTTAATGGATTAAATAACAAGCAATCCATGAAACATTACACAAATAATATATTTAAAAATAATTGTATCAGTTCTTATTTCATTTAAATCGTTGCCACTATCTTCATTACGTATAGACAAAGATACTTGAGTGGTTTGATAATGTTAATTGATAATGCTTAGATTCTTGATATAATATTTTTATTTGATATTTTAAACATTAATTTTCTGGCTTAAAGTGAACTATAAATAATAACAATAATAATAACTATAATATTTATCATAGCAATTCTAATTGAAGGCTGTCAACATACGTTTACGTTCATTTTATCCGGTCTTCCCCTGTCAAGTACTTCACAGTATAGACTCCCGTAAGTTTAATTTTAAACTCTAAACTCTAAAGGCATTTTGCGTTTGCATACAACGTCGGTATTTGATATCGAAGTCGGAAGTAGTTGTTACGTCCTTTGATTTATAAATAGAAATTGGTATAATTATTGCAGATTGTATACGCCCAAGAGCCTAGAGAACTTGTTCAAGTGCTTAGTTTAAAAGTTACATTGAACACATTTACCTTTAATATTTAAGTATAGCCCTTATTTTTAAAGTGATAAACGCAATATAAGGTAAAGTATTAGAATTTTATTAAATAAATCTATACAATACTTAATGCATAATATTGTAATCCATTAATGTAAGTACATTTCTGATAAAAGATATAATAATCATCATGAGTCTCATAACTTGAAATAACAAAAAAGAACCTAATTAAACTATAAAATTTAAATATAATGTTTTTTTCTATCTGGTTAATTTATGTATGTTTTGTTTGCATTGGATTGATATTATTATTATATAGATAACTACACTTAGGTACTAATACTGCCTACACTTACTTTTTAGTCTTAATTTAATAATAATTATAACCATTGCAGGAAGTCATGTCTGCAAAAAAGAAGAGTAGCTTAGATGCATATTTGAGTGAAGTGTTTAAAAATTTTATTTCATTGAAAGACAATGATACTAAGAAGTCACAAGAAGTTTTTAAGAGTGTCTTTGATCAGTTTAAACAAAAAATGGGTGAACAATGCAAATTTTTCAACAAATATGCTTCTCAAGTAAGAAATAAAAGAGTATTTTAATATCATTTATTACTTACTATATCTTTGCAGAAGGTAATAATTGTTAAAATGTAAATTAAGGTTTTTAATATTATTAGTAAAATTGTGATTTAATAAAAGTTCTACAATGTGATTTATTACATGAGTAGAACTTATTTTTTATGTATTTAATATTACACAGATAATTATCCATATTATTGAGCAGTGGCTCACCCTCTCTTTGCTCCGGTTCGTCTTTAGTGAAAACAAAACAAATCTATCCCACATGAACCTTAAATTTTTCCAGGATAAAAAATAACTTTTGTGCTATTCCAGACTATATATAATCTATCTCTATGCCAATTTTCATCCAGATCCGTTCAGCCATTCTGGTGTATAAGATCAAATCAAATCTTTTTTTGATTTGATTTGCATGAAAGAGTAACAAACATCCATATTATTATAATATTATTATGGATATGTATATTGTATACTAACTATGATCCATTATAGTCAAGATTGATAACAATAGTATGAGCAATATGAAGATGTGCTATACGAAATAAATTATTCCTATTAGGAATATAAAATATGATATGTATTAAAATTTTTAATTATTGAAATATATGTATCAATATAAAAAACTAAAACCAATATCAAATAACTGAACCCACATAAACCTGAAAATTGCTTGAATATTTTCCTTAAAGTTCTTTTGTTTGAGAGAATTTTTAAAAATATTGTAGTAATAATTCTTATACTGTATGCTAGTTAAAAAAGGTAAATAAAAATCCTATGAAGCTGCAAAGAAAATGTTTTCATAATATTTTAGTTCATAATATAGGTATAATCAGACAGACTTATTGTTTTTTTTTATTCTGTGAATAAAAGTCTAAGTTATGCAAAAACACCTTCTTCTCCGTCACTTCTATCTTCTTTACCTTCTCTTTTATCTTCAGTGGTATCAAAAGACCCCAATTTGTGAATACAATAACTACAAGTATCAGACCAAAAAATTATACTTAAAATAAGTAATTAATGATAATTCCACAGGTACTGTATGGCGGTAGCGTCTCAGATGGCATCAAAGTGAGCAAACTCGATGAATTCGATATGGATATAGTGATCCGTCTACCAATAAACTATGATGATGGTGAAAATGGTATTATAATAGAAAACGATATTCCTGGCTACGTGAAGCTCAAGATTACCAAGGAATTTGATAATTTAGATAAGAAACAGGTGAAGTTACACTATTTAATTAAATAAGTTGATATGAAAATAATTTTATTGAAACTTAAAATTTGGCATCTATTAAAGATAATATCTGACAAAACAAAACACCCGTAACTTGACAAGTATAAGTATTATAAGTTTTCTTTAGGCCTTTTTTTTATCTTATTGGACTGAAAGATATACATACTAATCAAAATTTTGAAATTTTCCAATTTATTTGTCTATTTTATACGCATTTTATGAATATTATCAACTATACTAATATTTCGAACTTGTAAGGAATCACTAGGTATCCTTACATTTCCGGGGCAGAGGCTGACTGCTACCGGACGCGTCCCCAGGTGGCGGATAGGGGAACACCACTCGCGCCTGTTTGGACCCAACAGGAGCTTGTGGTGCCGGAGCGATCCGGCGCGGACCAACAGCCAGGAGGGGAGGTTGAGGGAGCGGCGTTAGAGGGAGCGGCGTTAGAGGGCGCCGTCTCCTTCTTGGAGGTAGCGCGGTGTCTCCGGCCGTTTTGCGGTAGGAGGTGATGCGCGGGCCACACTGCCGGGGCTAGCCCGTCGGTGCGGCGGCAGGAGCGGGGCCATTTCGGTGGTCCTGCGTATGGCCAGGGATGTCGGCAGCCATTTTGGTCCGGAGGTGGGCCGACAGTAGGGGGGCCGCGGGGGAAGAGGAGTGTCGGTATGGCGATGCGCCGCTCGTCCCTATCTCCCGCGGCCTAGCGGGGCCACCACCGTTGATGGTGGACGCGGTGGGGCTGCAGGGGAAGGGGAGTGTTGGCGTTGTCACATCCTCTTCTCCTGCAGCCGTTTGTGTTTGGGCCCACTTCGGTGGGCGGTGTTTGTGTGGTGTGGGGCTGCTCCGGGTACTTCTCTGATCAGCAGAGTGGACTTAGGAGCGGCCTCACTTCTTCTTGGGTTGAGAGTCTTCCCATAATGGGGTTGTCCCGCTTGGGGCGGCCTCATGGTTGGTGGCTTCGGCCAACCGTCGGGGCGTCACGGTTGTATGCGAGAGCGATCCCGTGGCGTCCCACATGGCGGCAGGGGGGGAAGTTGGGTTTTAGTGGGTATGCCGGTCTCATTAGCCGGAGAGTCTCCACATAACCACCCCGGGGGAAGTCGGGTGGTATCCGTAATAGGATTTCCCAACTATAAAAAAAAAAAAAAAAGGTATCCTTACATTGGTGGGTACAGAATTACAGCGAAATTAACCCATTCGTTATATGTATTATAGCAAAATTGAAACAGCATGAACTTAAACTCTGAACAGCTTATCACAATCATATAAGAGTATAGATTATAGTAACTGCCTACACTAATATACTAGAACAAATCAATGGGAAATGGAAGAAAAGTACCTACATTAAATATTGAAGTTATCAAGATTTACTCAAAGGAAACATTACTTTATTTAAAAAAATATTAATAACTGCATTTATTTTTGTTTAAAAAGAGCTTGCGTGAACCGAGAATCGAACCAAATAATCAATAGGCTTTATGGGAAGAATAAAATCTCTCGAATAAACATTGTGCCTTAGAATTGAAGAAAATTATGAAATCTTACAAATTAGACATATCGACTCTAACATTGTGGAACATACTACGTATTCTTATCTACATATGATAATATTATAAAGAGGTAAAGTTTGTGAGTTTCTGACGTTTTAGGGGGTAATATCTGGATCTACTGAACCGATTTAGATGAAATTTGGTAAGAAAATAGTTTGAGACCCTGGGAAGGACATTGGATAGTTTTTTTTTCGGAAATAATCCCTTAAGGGGGTGAAAATGGGGATGAAAGTTTGTATAGGGATTCCACCTCTCTTCTGGGGAGTCTCTGAAATAAAACTTTGAAGTTGCAAAATCCCATATATACTGCTAACTTAAAACTTTACCAGCTTAAAAAGGTACCTTTAAGCTTAGGACACTCAATGGGACTGCTGGTCTTTTTTTAGGAATGGGAAACATGCCACAAAGTAACGAGAGATTGGCGTGACTCAGACAAATACTTTTTACAAAACAAATTTCGGCAATGGCTGCATGGTATAGTGCAAAGGACCATAAACGAGTTGAATGGGAAGGTCACCGTGAATGGAGTCACTTATCTGATGACGTACAAGATGTCAGGCCCTGCTTACACTTTGAATGTCAGGAACGATGAGGGGGATGAGGAGTTCCATCTAGATGTCGATTTGGTGCCAGTTATTAGATTCATGGCGCCGAGGTGGCCTACTGGATATAGGTATGTATAAATAGGTTCGATATTTAAGAGAGCAACTGCAGACGCTTCTCAGCAGAACTGCTTTCCTCACAGATCCGGGGATACTAATAAAAGCGTTTATAACTATTTATTCTTATCATATATCATATAAATCTATACTAAACGTTATATATATATATATATATGTATATATATATGTAGGATACAAACATATTGTTAACGTTTAGTATAGATTTATCAGAGATGAGAAATTTTCCCGCAGTAAATAGTATCCTATATGTTGACCCGGATAACCAGCTATCATCATCCAAATTTCATCAAAATCTGTCTAGTTTCTTGTGATGCGACACAGACAGACAAAAACTCTAAAAGTATAGATTCGGCCTCTGTATCAATTATAATGACTATTTCAATAAAATTTTCCAAAAAATATTTAATGTACAGATTCGACTCAGTTAAAATTTTATTATACGAATAGATTCAATAGTGCTTATAATAAGTCTAATTGAATAAAGATTTCATTTCATTTAACAGAACTCATAAATTAAAATTTTTAAAGTGGATATTATGGTTGTTGATATTCTACATCACTTTTAAATTACCAAATATAATGCGTTACGCTAATTTTTTTTCGTTATGTATTAGGTAGCGAAAAAATTATCAGAGAAATCTGATTTTGGAAGGTAATAATAATAATAAATACTCTTTATTGTATACCCACAAAAGAAAAAACAATATATAAAAAGAGCTATGTACAAGAGGCGGCCTTATCGCTAAAACAGCGATCTCTTCCAGGCAACCTTAAGGTGTTGAAATTGACAAACTGTAAGAGGGAAGGGGTGTGTACAATATAGTAGAAATAATAAAAAAAAAACAAAAATAATACAATAATAACAATAATTCACTTAAACCTAAGGATCTACGAGTATTTACACCAAATTCTCGAAAGTGATGATCCAAAATGGCGTAAATCGGCATGGTTTTATATTTGAAAGGTCTTTTGTTTATTTGTAGTAAACGTACTAGTAACTAGATATTATGGCAATAATTTTAGGCAGTTAGATCAAGCTCAGGTGGACCAGTGGTTGGTTGTGCCGAAGCCTAATAAATCACTTCAAGATGAAACTCAGAGAAATCGCCTCTGGAGACTTTCGTTTCAGGATTATGAAAAAGAAATGATTAAGGGTTGCCAGCAATTGAAAGTTGTTATAAGATTGGTAAGTCTTTATAATAGTAAATATTATTATTATTTATTTATATATAATGATTAATTTAAGTATAAAATAGCCTCAGTGACAAATTCACATGCCCTCAAGTTGTTTCATAATAGATTATACAGTATGCATCTATAATTCGAAGTCCTGAGTGACTGATATATCCACGCACAGCCTATGCCGCTGGTCCTAGAGACCATGAAATTTGGTGTGTTCTTTGTGAAATTGTAGGTATCCACTAAGAAAGATTGAATTTTATTTGAATCTTTTTATTCGCTTGGTCGAATGACGCGAGAATTGATACACGTACTCTTCAATTAAAATTATGACATCACAGTTTTTCCAAAATCATCCCCCAAGAGTCAAATAGGGCTTCGAAAATCCTACACGGCATAGTAGACGGGCGCATGCTGCGCAGGGTGGCGTAGCGTTTCTGTATTACTTATATTATATATTACATAAAGCCAAAGAATTCATTTCTTTGTGGTTTTAACCCAAGCGAAGCCGCAGGCTGTGCTAGTACATATATAAAACAGAACAATAATTACTTTAGCATTCAAAATTTAATACATATTCAATCAATAACATAAAGTATATGAGATAAGAAGTCATGCAGTAGATAATCAGTAAATAAATTATCGGCAGAATTCAATATGTTTAATATATTGAATTGCATATAATGGCTATTAACAATTTGTTGTCAAAGTACATGAATATTATTATTTTTTTTGTTTTAAGGTTAAAAAATTACGCGATTCTCTCGGCATGAAGGCGATAGCTAGTTATTATATAAAGACATTAGTATTGTGGAAAGTCCACAATGTCGAAGATAAGAGGTACTGGCAAAAGAAAATCAGCGTCATTTACCGCGACATGGTCGAGGATCTCTACAAAGCTATAGATAACAAAAACATCCCATACTTTTGGAACGAGAGCAATAATTTAATTGAAGGCGTCAGACCTACACTTTTGCAAGAGTATGCGAGAAAGTTAAAAGCTGTTCTAAATGCCATAGACTCTAATGACGTGGAGAAAGTTACCTTTTCTCTGTTAAATGCAGAAGAGATAAAGGAATTTAAGAATTCACAGTTTTATAAGAGCCAAGAATCTTTACCGAGTTCAGGATTGAAACTAAAAGTAGCCAGTCCGGATAGCAATAGCGAAGTGGACTCGCCGAAGTTGGTCCTTGAAAACAGAGGGAATGACGATGTTTTACTGAAACATATAAAAGATTTGTACGCTAAAATCGATCGGTTAACACAAGAAGTGAACGAAAATAAACAGGAAATGATTAAATTGCGTGAAGAAATTCGAGAAAACAAAATAGAAAAATCCGTCCCAAAGAATGATAGTGTGGAGTTACAAAATCATGATACAATTGAAAATTTGAATGATTCGTCCGATTTATTATTGATGCTTTGATTTTGATGGATTTATTTACCATGAATTTTGAAAATGTTATTTGTAGATATAAGTACAATTTATACGCATTTTAAGTATTTTTTATACGAATAGGTAAAAGATTTATAGAATAAAAGATAGAGAAATAATTTTATAGAATAAGAGAGAAGAATGCAGAAGAAATATATGTTTGCTTATTGTGACCATTGGTTGATTGATTTGACGAGTGGGAGTGACATAGAGCAAGGTTCTCAGTTAGGATTCTCAGTAAGGATAAAACTTTTATGTCTCAGACTGCATAACACTATGTTCCTTTGTCAACTTGTTCCTGTCTTTTTAGTTTGATTTTTTGGCTGACTAGTTTTTTTAATTTTGTAATTAGTAAATTGGCAACACCTGTTAGCTGTGTTTATTTAATGAGAAATGAACATTTTCACAATCTCGATGTCTATTTTTGTTTATATAAAGAAATATCTTCGCCAATGTGAGTCGATTTTCATATAAATTATAATTTTCATGAAAAATAATGACCTATGTAATACGTTATTATACACAATTAGTTTTCAATTTAGTTTTTAGAATGTAAGCATTAAACAAATACATTTTATTGATAGATCTCCAATATGAATTTCTTTATCTAAGTTCCCATTTATATACAAATATTAATGAGAACTTATATTTTAAATAAGTAAGATAGAATCTTTGACATTGAAACTTTGATATTCAAAACATCACATAATATGTTTAAATGATAATATGTATGAAGTATGATAAAATGAATATTAATTTATTATTGGACAAGATATAGATATATGCATCTCTGATGATTAAGAAGGTATATTTCATGATTTTAATACACGCAGAATTATCAATGTTAATTAAATATTATTTTAGATACTTATTTTTAGTTACTTAGAACCTTCGTAGACTTTCCGTCGGCAGATGTGTTCGGAATCGTGTTGGGAATGGTTTTAATATAGAATTTTGACAATTATTTTTATTTGGTACCAAAACGATCCCCAAAGTACGGATAGAAAACTCCACAGAGGCCAATTTTATTTACATTATATGTATTCGGCTATATATCCTTTTAAAAAATTTCACGTTTATATAGAAAAAAAAACGTCATTTAAACCTAAAATAGGAGTCGTTTTTTTTAAAATATTTCAAAAAATGAAGAAGATATATGTATAGCATTTTGAAGTTGCTCGTCCGCTCCGGCCCTATTTGACGTCATCTGACCCGAATCTATTGCTGTAGAATTAGAATTTTTGTTAAATCGTCACTACAGAAAGCCTACATTTTTATTTATTTTTCATTTTATCGTATCTTAAAAGTATTAATTCGTTAATTTTCCAACATAAGACTCTTCCATTTCTGACACTGACATGTTGCTAGTATTAACACAATTCCCATCAATCAAAGAAAAAAAATTAAAATTGTGATATACTTATTTAAACTTCTGGATTTCCCAGTTATTTTAACAAATGTTTAACACGTTCAGTGCCACCGACTCGCCCTGCGAGTTTACGTTAATTTTATTCCAGTACCGGGGACTCGCGCGGCGAGTTCAGTGTGTTTCGGTAATATTTTCAAAACGCTTCTGTATATTCTGTTCAAAATTACGGTGTAGACTTAATATGATGTCATGTTCACGTTTACATGGTGGCCTGGATGTAAAGAAATTTTTTACATTTAAAAGAAAAAAATTATTCTGCAATGCCGTGAACTCGCTAGGTGAGTTCAATGCCGCAGATTCTCAAATTTTAACGTCGTCAACACAATAAGTTCGATTTTTAGTAGGTTGATGTGGCGTTCACTGTAAAATGTAAATCTATATAAATAAAAATGAATCATCGAAATATGTTTACACGCATAACTTCCGATCAACTGCACCAAATTGGATATTTCTTTTTTTTTTGTATTTTTTATTGTTAGGACAAGTTTCGTATAGAAGAAAATTAAAAGATTTTTTTACAAAAAAATATTTTTTTTCATCTCGTGATATGAAAGTGAGTGAAATAAATAGTTTTATCCCGGAAGTCATCCCTTAAGGGGGTGACAATGGGGATGAAAGTTTGTATGGGGAAGCAAGCTAGGCACGACACCCGAGCGAAGCTAGGGTAAGTCGCTAGTTATGAATAAAAATAAATTTTTTTTCTTTATAATATTATAGTTGAGATTCCAATGGGTAAGATACTCACAATAAACAAAAAGTATACCTAATAAAGAGATATTATTTTTATTCAGAAACACTCGCAGTCCCAGCCTTTCGCAAATTATGTTAGGTTCATACTTTAGATGATAAATAAGGAAACAAAACAGGTACTAGAGTTAACTATAAATATATAGTTACAGTGTCCCATTTACCCTTTTCGGAATCTTTTATATAAATGATCGCAGACATCACAAATTTACAACACAATATAGGGTGGCCCGTTCTCAGAAAAGTAGACTTTATTATTGTCATATTTATATTGCATTTACAATTTTAAGACAAATAACATTGCGCCGGCGCGCGCTCTTACTAAACAAAAGCACTGATAACATTGTTTTTCACGAAGCTCTCATTGGGTAATCCTAAGTCCCACTCCAAGGACGCAAAACATTTCGCCGATTCTATTGGACCCTTATTCGTGACGTCATTGACTACTCTTGTAAACCACGGTAAACTTTTTTCTAATGTCATAACAGTGATTTCCCTTACGCCCTGACGACCCTTTCGTCATCACATGCGTTCACCTGCTCCATTTTGAGTCTTCGTCATAAGTCTCCGTTTCTGGGACTAATAGCACTAAAAAAACAGGTTGTTACTTATTGTCAAATTTCAATTATATTATTTAAAAATATTATCTATTATTGTAAATAATATTACATAATAATAAATAGGTACAATGTTGATTAATTTCATTTTAAATTATTTTAAATACAAAAATTATTGAATTTATTTCCTTTTATTATTAGCGTTGCATTAAAAACGAATGGTATATATTTATAGAAGTTGATACCATATTCGTAGTACTAGGAGACAGCGTTAAATATTCAGAGCGAAATTGCTGTTCAGAAATATTATTAGTACAAAAAATAACATTTAAAATAACCACTGTATAAAAAGTTGACAACCACTGCCTAAATTACGAAACAAACTTACCTTTTATTTTATCCTTTGAGTTTTTTGCCATGTTTGTAAGTTAAAACACACTGAATAGTCGTCAAACACTTTATACTTCCGATACAAACGTTACGGAGACTAAGACAGTCACAATAACAACAAAAGATAAATTTTACCCTTACATAATGCCAGTGAACTCGCGTGGCGAGTCCATTCAAATTATATTCTAGTGCCGGCGACTCGCTTGGCGAGTCCAACGTGAAATGTATGCGGCATCCGCGAAGACATCATGAAAATCGTAGTGGCATTGAACGTGTTAATATAAGGATTTTTATTTTTATACAATAAATTTGAATATAAATGATGTTTTATTTCATAATATCTTAACAGTGAGTACATCAGTACTGTAGGTACCATTTAAAATTTTAATATAAGTAGCAAACGTAGTATAGTTTTATGACTTGTCGTCGAGTTCACGGTTATGAAGTTTCAATGGATATTTTCTGTATTTATATAAACAGATACAATAACTTTCAAGTTATCGTTTTTTTTTTTTAAATAAATTAATAGCAGAAATATTTTCGACTGGTTTTTAAAGACTTAAATTATTCTTCATTTAAAAAATACATATCAAGACACGCGGTAGCGTGCCTAGCCAAGTTCAAGCCAAAGGAACTGGCGATTAATTTAATACCAAAATTAAAAAATATTATTAAAGTTATTAAGTGCAAATAAAACCCAGTTAACGTGTTTTGAAGTAAACAACACACTGCATACGCCATAGGTATGTATACGAGCTAAGCGCGGTAAGTTACGAGCGTGTGGCGACGCGTCGCCACGCCAACAGCCTGTTTGACTCGCCGCATTTGATGTTTCAAATCAAAAACCTTTATTGGTACTCAATTGTCTGTGTGCTCTAATTTTAATTTTACGTTGATTATGTACATATGTATTTATCATTTAAAGTAGCAACTCACCTTCGCTCCGCTCGGGTTCATCCCTAGTTACGTTTAGTATCGATTTCTCAGAAATTAGATATTTTCCCACAGTAAAAAGTATCCTATATGTTGATCCGGATTCAGCTATCTATATATATATATATATATATATATACCAAATTTTATCAAAATCTGTCCAGTGGTTTTCTTGTGATGCGTTCCCAGACAGACAGACAAAAATTCTAAAAACTATAGATGTATAGATTCTAGAACTTACTACTTTCGCAATTGTCAAGTAGAATGAAGACCAGAACATATTCTATATTATTTTTATTTTCAATAATATTCAATTCTATATTTAACACATTGTAAACAACAAATCAACGACGAACGAGAATAAATAAAAACACAATATTGAACATAATTTAATATTTTCTTTCACCACTATTCTGATTTGTGTCATCATAGAAAAAGAATATATTACAGCCATGTGACTAACTTACAAATACAAACCGATACACATATCTCAAATAACGAAAATCAATTATTATACTACTTTTAGAACTAAGTGTATAAAACAATGAGTAGTTGAGGCATAGAAAGTGAACTGAGTGTTTCGTTGCCAGCTGTCAGCTAAAAATGGCGGACAGGCGCAAAAGAGACAAAACGAATGGCGGCCAGAACTCTTCTGTATTAATTGAAATACGATTAATGTAGATAGATATTTATAACTATTTTACATACCATAAAAAAATTCACATTCCGTTTATAAACTCAAATTGGAATAAAAGATAGGTATTGGCCGCACGTTCGCTTTTTCTCTTTCTAGAGGGCTGTCAATTTTGAGAGTATCGCTCAGTCCATTCTCTACATCTGAGTGAAGACTAGAGGAAGGAACACGGTGGACTATTCAATGATACGACTTCAGTATAGATACTTTATTATTAGCGAATTTAGTAAAATTTGGACTGAAATGGAATTAGCTATTTAAGATATTTATATCGTGTATTACGAAATATTCACTAAATATTTAAATGATAACAAATTTGAAGCACTAGCGCTCGCGCCGCCCCGCGACCTGTCAGTTGTCACGTGCGGAATCCACAACTTATACAGATTAAACATCTTCACAGATAATATTTTCACTCTAACATAATATATAATAATGTTAGCGTTAAAATATTTCAATGAACGACAAACTCTACACTCAATCAATTCGTATTATTCTAATTCTTCAACTAAATACTTCTCTTTGAAATTTTAAACGAGAAATCGTATTAATTTTGAGCTATACGCCAAATAACGCTTTATAAACGGCAAAGGTATTTCGCATTATAAATCGAGAATGTAGAGTGAATTGACGAAATGTGCAAAAAGCCATATTTATTATAATAATAATAAATTAAAAAAAAACCTAATGACTGAAAAATTCGTCGTGCGAGTCTAAAGTCCTCGACACTATAAGAGAAGAACGAACGCGCTTTAGAAGTACCCTTAGAAAGAGATTTTTTATTTTCAATTGAAAGCTTTAAGATATTTTTTACAATCTTCCGTAATTTATCAATAAAAATCCAATCAAAATACTTATTTAAAAAGAAAATTATTATTATTGATGTACTTATTAAAAAATGTATCTCAAATATCGGGCATGTCTTTTGAAACGGTCCTTCTCCTTTCTAACCGCGTTCAGATTGTTATCTTAAAATATCAATAAATACGATCTAACCGATACATAACAAAACTTTATTGTTCTTTTTATATATACAGCTATTATCGAGCAAAAATTAGTCTCACACTATATATTATTTAACTTATTATTTAGCTAACAATATGAGATAAGTATATTTATATTGTATATACGCTAATCAGAATCTAAACACTAATAGTACATATAAATCCTTCTTAGGGCGACTGTTAGATTGAATTATTTGATATATCAGTCTGGCAACACATGTCCACAATATAAAAAAAATACAAAATTTTCTAATATTGCAATCAATATTTAAAAAAATACTTTAAGTAATAAAATATAAATCATAATATAATAGCATTACAAATGTTGAATATACAAATTATATATAATAATTGTGGACATAGTAAAGACCAAACTTCGAATATTAAAACTAAAAGCCGCCATTAAAGGATCATATTTTTTAATGTGGCAATAGTTTGCGTTCATACACCAATATAATACGAACAAGCGCTCAAAAAACTTGGCACGAATAAAAACTTTTCAACAATGAATACAAAATAATGCCACACAATTTAGAGAGTGCACCGACTCAAGCCAATTAAAATCATCCTAAAATCATAGATCAAAATAGTACTAGATACACAATCCCATTCAAAGGTTCTCTTAAAACTGTCACCAATTGTTTAGGTAATTATTCTTGTTGAAATAAATATACAACAATGTAATAGTATAAAAATGTTTTAAAAGACAAAAAAATCGAAAGTGCATATTACAAGACTTCCGGTACCATTCAGACAAAGAGAGACAATAGCATTCCCAAGGAGGGTTGACGTCAGGCAGGCGGCCGGTCGTAAAACTTTTGCCGAATCCTATCAGCAGTACAGAAGATGTACTGCGCCGACCCCAAGTGATTGGGAAATGGGTAGGGAGAAGAAGAAGAATGTAAATTGAACTTTCAAAGCAATGCTTAAAGTTGTTTTCACAAAAAAATAAATAAAAACGCGCTCGAATTTTCAAATGAGCGCTCATTCAATGAGGACACTATTTGTCGCTGATTGTGTATCTAGTACTTTTTTAATCGATGCCTAAAATGGATTATATTCCCATCGAATTACATATTGGAATTGACACCTGTCATTACATTATCGGCGGCCATATTTTAAAAAAATCCTATTATCCATTCATAGATTAAAAAAAACTTGTTTGCGCATATTTTTTTCATTTGAGCTGAGAAATATTTTATTGAAATGAAATTATTATTACAGCCAAAATGTAATTCCATGTGAAAAATGACCGCCAAAATATCTGGCATAGTTTTAAAATAATTTGGTAAGCTATATTTAAACATAGATTAGTTTTTTCCCATATAATAACTTTGTCAGATGTTTTGGCAGTACCTAAAGTACCGTCGCATTTACGCATAGTGATAACATTTGTTTTTCACACATAATAAGGCGAATTTTAATTAGGATCGAAAGATTTACATTTTACAGAATGTTTCAGATTTACAAAATGCCTACAAATAGGCTGTCTAGCTACCGAAACTAGGGGAATGCAGAAACTATAATTTCAAATTGCCTCTTTATAGTTCATTTTTAATATTAACGATTAAAATTAAGTTTGAAATTATTATTTAGGCCCGAATTGATGAAACACACCGAGAACTAAACATAATATGTATTATTAAAAAGTTCTAAGTAATTTTAACATTTTTTAGTGGAAAATGAATCGTAGCATTTAAAATGTAATTTATCTAAATAAATTTAATTTTTTTTACAATTATCTATAAAAAAACCATTACTTTCCTATATAAAAGGAATAATTTTAATGAAAAACAAAAACACGTTTTTAGTTTGTCTCTAAAATACTAAGTCGTACACATTTGTGTGTTTCATCTACAGGAATTAAATTACAAACAAACTAACAATAAAGAAGAATTTTCTAAAGGGACATGATATTATCATAATATACATATGTATATTTCTTGTTCCATTCTTTTTTAAAGTTTTATAGTTCACTTATCTATTTATAAGAATGGTAAAGGGGGTGTATTCGAAATTTTCCAATTTTATTTTTGATTATTCATTTAGATTGACGCCATTGTATTAAATACTTTCTTAGATTTACGCGAATATTTGACATTTTAAATAAAACTATCTTTTCGGATTATTTCGCGGATTTATTTTCATTTTTAGTTCTCGTTGTTTGTAAGCAGGCACTATCTATAACAACTATTATATAATGACCTTTGAGACATCTAAAACCTTAGTCTCTCCCGTGACCGTCATGATTGCTGTAAAGCATTCGAAACGTCGAGAACCAAAAATCAAAATAAATCCGCGAAAGAATCCAAAAAGATTGTTTTATTTAAATAATTATTGACATTTATCCGCCATTTAAATTTTCTTCTTTATTGTGTGAGAAGCGGTTACCTGTGAGTACTAAATGTTGATTTTTTTAACGCGCACTGCCGGACTTACTGTGGGAGATGAGCCATTGTAGTGTAATATCGATGTTGTCTTTTTCTTTGCAGGAGATTGAATAACAGCATATTTCTCGGTCCTGGATTGCTGATAGGTTCCTGGAAATAAGTATTTATGTATACAATATAATGTTACTGTATCCCATAATAATCTGCGAAAGTTTGGATGGATGGATATTTGTTACTCAATCACGCCAGAACGGTTGAACGGATCTGGATGAAATTTGGCACAGAGATTATAGTCTGGAATAGCACATAGGTTGCTTTTTATCCCAAAAAAAATGTTCAGTTCCAGTGGGATGGATTTGTTTCTGCTTTCACAGAGCAAGGGTATCCTTGTCTATTAAATACTAACCGATAAAACGTACCTAGAGACAGATGTTTATCATTAATTATGAATATATTATAAAAAAACATAGTTTAAATAACTATGATAAGTTACTAACTTAATCAATGACAATCCCATTTAAAAGTTCTCTTAAAACCGTCACCAATTGTGTTTACCAATTGTTAATATACAACAGTGTAAATTGAACCTTAAATGCAATGCTTAAAGTTGGTTTCACAATAAAAAATAATTAATAGCGCACTAAAATGTTCAAAATGAGCGCTCATTCGGCGAGGACACTTTTTGTCACCGATCTAGTACTTTTTTGATCGATGGTTACTTTAGACATAGTTCTATTAACGTACAATAGATGTATGTATCGCACAAGGTATGTATTTTAATGATCTAAACTATATGGTTATGGTGCAATATGTATAAAACCTCAACGTTTACTATACATATCTCAGAGATTAAAATATTTTCCCGCAGTTAAAAGTATCCTATATGTTGACCCAGATAACCAGCTATCATTATACCAAATTTCAACAAAATCTGTTCAGTGGTTTCCTCGTGATGTGTTCCCAGACAGATAGACAGACAAAAGTTCTAAAAACTATATATTGGGGCTCTGTATTGATAATAATGATTATTTCAATAAGATTTTCCAAAAAATATATGCACAGATTCAACTGAGAATTTTATTATATGCATAGATTATGTGTTTTTCGATTTGTTTATTCATTAATTGTATTCTAGTAATTATTGTTTCGACTTTCAACAATAGGGAAAGCAAAGAAACCCTGCAAGGGACATGGTGTGAAGCCAAAAAATACTGTAGGGCGCGAAACAAATAAAAATATGTGAAAATAGGACTTTTGCGAACGCTTTCTCTCAGAGTAATTTGAATCAATCGATTTTATCCGACAAAACTTGTTATAGAGCATAAGTATGCGTGTGCAATAATAGTAACGCATGTGTGTGTGTGCTTACGAAAGTGTGCGTGAGTGAATGTGTGAAGTGTATACATATGTGCATATACCACGTATATGTGTACCCTATTGGTCTAGTCACCAGTTCGCTAGCATGTACGGCTGCAGAGTCCTAGGTTCGAGTCCCTGTTCCATAGAAATTTGAGACTTCTAAAAAAAGGAAATAGAGAGCACACACACTTGAATACTATGATATGTCCTGCATAGTTGGTTAGTCTCAGTAAAATTCACCACCATAACCTAGATAGGTTAGGGGAACCTTATTATGTTTGTAAGAATGTGTGTGCGTAAGAACTTGTGTTTGTGTGTATATATCATACTCACATGCGCTCGATGAGTCCGTGCTCGTCGAGCGCGTGCGGCAGGTCGCGCTTGTTGCCGAGCACGAGCACGGGGATGCCGGTCAGCTGCTGCTTCTCGAGCAGGTTGTGGAGCTCGTTGCGGGACGCCTCTATCTTGTCGGGGTCAGCCGCGTCCACCATGTACCTGCGATAGACCATGTGGGGACGATGTTGTTTGAATAATAAATATTGATCATTTTTAACAGCCTCGGAAGTCCCGGATTCGAGTCTCGGGTCGGACTAGTTTCAGTTATTGGAGTTTTTCTATCAAGAAATTCTCATGAATACTCAGGGAATTGAGAATTTAGCAATTTTAGACGTCGGTCATGCATCTGATCTGTCATCGGGCATGACATATTGTCATCCCACGGGAGTATGAAAGTGACGGGAATAGTTTTCGTTTGTGGGCATACTTTCATTTTAATATCTGTTATGCACATAATTTAAAAATCAAGCCTAGAAAACTAGAAAATCAGGTCACAAGGATATTCTTATTGATCATTTCATTAAAAAACATTTTATTAATGTTGAAAACATTTTAAATGACTAAAACAAAACAAGCAATAGCATAATCTTAATTAAAGCAAACAATTTTTAATACAAGTTTCTTTTTTACTTACACAATGGCATTCACACCCCTACAATACCTCTCCCACATGGAGCGGAATCGAGGCTGACCACCAATATCCCAGACCTAAAAAAAAATTCAGCAAATCTTAACCTATTATATTATAACCTTAATTCATATTCAATGAAAAATAAATGCTACAAGGCCTCTTAATTCAAGATATTTAACATTTTAAATATGGCAGTAAGTGGTAACGCAATCGCTTGAATCTGATTGAAGCGGGTTGAAATCTTGGGTCTCGCACTTTTGATGTTTTCATGTGCGAATCATTTCTAATATGATTACCATTTGTCTTATGGTAAAGGAAGATATCGTTAGGAAATTTGCATGACTGAAAGAACCTAGCAAATGTTTGAAAGACATTTGTAGACTACGAATTTGCACTTGGCCAGCATGGTGGACTATCATGTGGCCTGATCCCCTCGTATTGAAGAGTGGCCTGTGCCCAGCAGTGGGATATTAAAAAAAAGTTTTTGTTATCTTTGCCTATTAAGAACAGATTATACTTTTTTTTTAAACCGACATAGATTTCAAGAAAACATACCATATTTTTAGGATCAGAATAATTTACTTCCAATATTAATTATTTCAGATGATGTATGTTTTTAATTTTAAAATATTTGTAATTTGTGGTATGTTCCTATAAGCTACAATTTAATATTTACAATAGAATTTATTAAAAAGAAACGGTATGTTCTTCATTATAAGTAATCTTTTTTCAAAATTAAAACTTACAGAATATAGAATTTTTCAAATGTTATGTTTCTGTATAAAAAGAATTAATTAAATGTGAATGTAAATAATGAAAGAAATTATTTTTCTATTTATAAAAAAACCATAAACAGACATTTTTTTATACTTACTTTGATAGTTACATTGCCTTTGGTAATTTTACGCATATTGAAACCAACAGTTGGGATCATATCTTCACTAAATTGTCCAGACTGAAATTAAAAAAATGTCAATCAACTATAACAAAGATGTCAATAATTCTAGCCTTTATTATAATAATTACAATGAATATATTTCATAACTTTGTAGGGATACATGTGTTCTAATTAGAAAATCATCAATATTATTTTCATATAAGATTTTTTATTATTTTGTCTTACTGGTTGATGAGTCATGATAAAAAACAATGTAATGTGATGTCAACAATTATTTGTTTTAAGAAAAAGAATGGTACTGGTGGTAGCACTTTATATATATTACATGTTTTTGTGAATAAATGCTCTATTTAAATTACATGAACAATTTAAAACAAAGGCAGGTACTGCAACTGTAATTGACGAAAACTGCAATTGTAATTGAACAGTGTTATACAAAAAATAATATATCATATATTTATTATCAGTATAAATGGTCTTATGACAAGTTTGTCATATATTTTCAATACTTACGATTTTAAAAGCTGTATAAAATATGTAAAATAAAGAAAAACTTATGAAAATGACATTTTGGGAAGCCTACACAATATAAATGACGTGAGTATAATGGATTTGGCAATAAAAAATTTAAATATATATTTAAAATATGACATGTCATGAGTGGTGCTTATGTATTTCCAACAAGTTAAATCAAATATTGATAATAGCATATAAGTGCGGCGTTTACAATGATTGTTTTGTGATAATACATACGGCAATGACGTTAACAAAAGTTGTTTTCCCTGAATACTGTAGGCCGACCAATGTCAGCTCCATCTCCTCCTTCCAGAACAAGCTTTTAATCCAATCAAGGATACGATTGATCAAAGCCAACATTTTTGTAATCTATCCACAGTATTTTATCAGAAAATATTAAAATTTAATACGCCTTTTACGAAAAATCGCTGGTCCTAACAATTTGACAGTCACCGGTTGCGTTTAGTAACATCATGGGAAATACAGTTAACATTTCTTGATTCATCAATAACATTTAACTTTTATTATTATATCTTGCATAAAGTGACGAATTATATGTTAATATGATTGTAATCTTTTTTAAAGACAGGTTTTCATTATAAAGATTAATTTTAAATATATTAAAAAGTTTAGATTTTTCTGAACGAAATAAAATAATGTTGCTATTCATTTTTACTCTTCTTGCCATAGAAGAAAATAACTTTTATTTGTCATCCATGAAAACATTTATATGAAGCATTGAATTGAAATATATTTTGTATAAAATAATCAATACAAAATATCCAATGTTAATATAATCACAGAAAAAAAATTCACTTCCGCTAATAACAATATTGTTTAAAATATAAAATATATAAAAGCACCAAAGAATATCAGAAAAAAAAGAATATAATATGTAGATGAAATATCACTAATGTATGTAATTTTTATTTATAACTACTAGGTACCGGCTTTTAAATTAATTTATTGTTACTAACAACTTGCCATCGCTTTGGTCGGGTGTCTCCCTAGGAATGTTTAAACCGCAGATTTGAATTTAATTTATTAGAATTGTAAGGAGATGGTCTCACCTTTTAAAAAGAGATGAATATTTATTGCCAGTGTGCCCTAGGAAAAAGATTTTGCTATTGCAGATTTTTCTGTAGGCCTTATTTAAGACCTATAATTTTCTAGTATGTTCATTGTTTTGAATTTTGATGTATTTCTTAAGGTTTAGCCAGCGTTAGACATCTAAATTTCTAAGGACCAGAACCAGTTATTGTGTGTTCTTACGGAGGAATGAACTATTTTCCTGTAGTAAAATTCATCCTCAATGTTGACCCGATTAATAAATTATCCTTATCACTACACAAAATTTTGTCAAAATCTGTCCAGTACTTTTTGCATGAAACACGAACACACAAACAGACAAAAATTTTAATTAAGATTATTATGAGGTCTATATTGCGTACACAATATGTTAGTCATTGCTTTTAGAAAACATTTCATGTACAGATTTCGCTACGTTACTGCAGTTTTATTAGATAGAATATTGTGATAGAGATGTATGTAATTATTTTATCATAGTAATTGATAAATTGAGTGTTATTATTTTGTTCTACGTTTAACCGTAAACAACAATCTTTAATCGTTAAATAGCTTATTTATCTTAAAAAATTCATAGATCAAGAATAAGTAATAGCGTAAAGAAAAATTAATAAAAATATGTACATGAACATGTACATTGTACACGTATGTTTTAATAAATCTTTCTATCCTTGCTGCGAGGATGAATGTCTCCGCCTGCAAAATACTATGTCCCTTAGTGAACATGATTTCATCTTTTGAGTTGGCGTTGTACGCAGTCGATATTTTTAATTTTTTTATCGACTTCTGCTTATTGTTAGCTCAAAATGAATGTAAAGTGAATGGAATGTAGTGAGGGCGATCCGCCAGGAGAGTCGATTACAGAGAGACGATTAGGTCACCTATGAAAATATTGTAATAGTGTTGATGCAGAAACCCAATTATAAGAATAAATCGATGTTTTTATATACATTTTAGAGGTTCGATAAAGTTGAAGGTTTTTTATCTTGATGTGTCTTTATATGTTACTTACGCTATTGGTTTATTTTTTTATGTCATAAAGTATGTATATTATATTATAATATATATTTACGAGTATGTTCAATTGCTTCGCTCAAAAAGGTCGTAAGGTCAGATGAAAGTTTTAAAATGTCTTTTACAGTGCAAAAAGTTTATTTTAATTGTCCTGCCAGTTCCAGAGATTAGTGCGTTCGTACATATAAATAATACTTAATTAATGTAGATAGAAACGTATTTTAATTGCGCTTAGACTAATCCATTCTAAGTGTTTTTCGTTAGCTTTTTATATTTTTTATATCTAAATTAAAAGTTAAGTGATACAAATTACAATGTGAACAACCATCTCATGTCTACCGATGTAAACGCTCTAGGACTCGTCCTATAGCTACCGCGATGTTGGACAAAATATACCAACCTACCTCTTGGCTCTTATTTAAAATCAGTTTTTTTTTTTGTAGAACGTAACTTGCTCGAAATAAAAGTTTGTGTAATTTGATAAAGATTTATATTTTAATACCAAAATTGATGACGCTTAACTTAGTTTACTTAATTAGTTAATTCTATTCATAATTTAATGATAGTTTGGACGGACCATTAGTAGACATAGTCTTGGAAATACCTAATTCCAATAAAATTCTCTAGTTACGAATTATTTACCCAGTATATACGAAAATGCCCCTACAATGCACAAGTATACTATTTAGTAGCGTCTCCATGAAACTTATTCAAAATATCTTTATTCGATTACTTTTTTACGGCTTAAAGTAAAATACCGGTGCGAGGATCGAACTTACGACCTCCGATAATACAAGCAGTGCCTCGTCTACAAATCACACTCATGAGTCACGATACACCATACGATGTGCTCAAATTACAGATATTAAAAGATCTTAAAATATCAGTTAAAATCTTTACGTCAGCTGCAATGAATTTGGTTTTATTGTTTTAAAGTATCTGACTACATCAGTCAGTGAAACATACGCATTAACATTTACATAAACGCATCCGTTACGTAAATATATTGAAGTGCGAGGGCGCGGAGGGCGGGGAGGGCGTCACGTGCGCGCGAGCGTGGCCGGTAGCGCTCACAGTGTAATACTTCGCAGACGCTCTAGTGACTCACTTTCCCAATATGTATTATTTTTTATACGTATTGTTTGTTTCAGGTTTTATTATATTTTTGTGTTCTTTGACTATGTAGTGTATTAACTTGTTATGTTCTTTTGTTTGTATGTTATAACATCTCAATTATTTTGTGTAAAATGTGTATTTTGTAATTTTTTATTTTGTTTTCTATGTGAATGGAGCTCGGTCGTTTTGGAAATAAAGTGAAGCAATATTTCCAACTCAGGGTCCTCCCTCTGGCATTTTAATATGCAAATCTCATTTCCAACATGATTACCTAAAATTGTAAATACGATGTAGTCAAACCTAATGAGAAAACCTGCACGTCAGGAACTAAATTTTTAACGTCGCGCATTTAAAGTCCGACATCCGGCATTTAGCCAGCTACGGCCTTACCTTTATATGTAGCAATATACTCTATGGCCTTACCTGTATCTCTCTTTAAGCAAAAGCAGTTTCAATTTTTTTAATGAATTAATTATAATAATTTGAGTAAAATATAACAAAAATATGAAAGAATTATTAAAATATATCAACAAATGAAGAAGTTATGAAACTTTCAGTTACGCTTGCAAGGATAATTATTTCGTGATGTCATACGACCTGAACGACCGAAATATAGATTAAAAATAACATTGACAATAAATAAAAAACAAACAGTTGTAAATAAAATACCTAAGAGAGCTCACGTGTGACATAGAAGGAATTAAGTACTTGAGTGATATTTTGTGGTGCGAAGATTTCAGTTAGATAAAAATATGACCTCACACTCGAGTAAAAGACCGCAGTCTCTCACAGTCGAGTGTGACATGAGATTTTTTAATGATAAATTTAAAAAAAACACTAATTTTAGATTTACTACTTTTGATCTATATTTTAATTCTATCGCGTTAAATATGATATTTACAACATCGTGAAACTTCGCCATTGGTACCTACCAGCAGGGTAAAAGGGGCTGAATGGGTTCATAAAACTTAGTTTTGTATGATAATTTTGTTGTCTTAATTGTTACTAGCGAATCACCCTCGCTCCGCTTGGTTTAGTTAGTTCCTACGTTTTAAGGTTAGTATAGATTTCTCAAAGATGAGATATTTTTCCTGCAGTCCTTTTTAATGTTTTACTGCTGGGTACGGACTCCCTTCAATACGAGGGGCCATAGTCCACCACGCTGGCCAAGTGCGGGTTGGCGGACTACACATGTCCTTCAAAGACTAGATAGATTCTCTCAGATATGCAGGTTTCCTCACGATGTTTTTCCTTCACCTTAAGGTAAGTGGTAATCATGTTAGAAATGATTCGCACATGAAAATATTAGAAGTCTGCCTACTACTTACGTAAGTACAATAATTTGTCAATTATTGTAAAAGAGAACATAATTACTTGTTAGTTGTTAACTTAGGCAGCACTATTTTTTTTGTACTGGAAAAATATAAGTGAAATATATATCATATTTTTAAATATTAATATACTTTTATTTAAGGTGTCTATTTGTAGCGTCTCTATACCGTGTCTACGGGCGTCGGGCGTAGATGACGGATCACAGATGAATAAAGAAACGTGGACCGCAAGGGATAAAACATAAAACGAAACTTGTAAATTTAATATTTTCATCATAAGAAATAAGATATCGTTTGATTTAAGACAAATGTGAACAACAATAGTAATCTATAGGTACATACTCGTATAATAAAACTGTAGAGGTCCAATGTCTGTACATAAAAAAGGTAAAAAGGGGGATGTAAGAAGGGAAATAGAATAAATACAGATTTTTTTTTAATTTTTTTGTTTCTCTGTCTGTTTGTCTGTTTGTACGGGCTAATCTCCTAAACTGTTCATTCAACTTTCGTTCAACTGTTTTGCATGGTGGTACCTTATATACCCGATCAATATTTTAGATACTTTTCATCCCGAAAAATTAAAAAGTTCCCGTGGGATAGTAAAAAAACCTACAGTAACTTATACAGCTTAGTACACAACAACTTATGCGCCTAATTTAGTATTTGGCACGCTGGAATTGCCGGTCAAACAATAGGTTACTTTTTATCCCGGAATAATGAACGGTTCTCGTAGGATAGATCTGTTTGTGCTTTCCTAGAGGCGAACCCGAGCGAAGCGAGGGTGAGACGCTACTTGATAATAGATTGTATGTTTACAAAATATTAATTGTTTCTTAAGATATATATTTACAATAAATACTTCTATATAGTAACATCTATCTAATCACGTGCGATGTGCTCGTACATTATAATCGTGTTAGTCATCAATTATACGCATTTATAATTAAACTGTAGTACATCTGGTCTTTCTACAAAGTATGAAATTGGTTTTGTCTACTTTTATATTGGCCACGAATTTTTAAATTGACACTGTAACATAGAATGCGATAAAAATTATTCTAGTATGTATGTGTAATGTATATAATGTACCTATTCTATCTAATAGTACAATGTATTTCCAAATTCCAAATTAATTATTATAAGCTTTTAGATTTATTTTCTTTTTATAACACACTAGCGACTTACCCTCGTTTCGCTCGGGTTCGTCCCTAGCTTGCTTCCCATTACAAACTTTCATCCCCATTTTCACCCCCTTATGGGATGATTTCCGGGATAAAAACTGTCCTATGTCCTTTACAGGATCTCAAACTTTCTTCTTGCCAAACATCTAATCGGTTCAGTAGATCCAGAGATCACCCCTACAACGTCACAAACTTTACTTTAAATATAGATTACATTTACGTCATCATGAAGAAAAATATTTATACTAGGTATCTAGATATTATATTTGTTGTTTGTTGTAATCAAACGTTTTCAAGTCACCTGCGACCAGTAAGTACATTCTCGTGAAACCCGTGCCGTATTCTCAATCACATGACTAAACAGCCGGCCCGACCGAGTCGCCGATTAGTTCGCCGCGAGCCTCTCACGGTGTTGACGTCTGCGATAAAACATATTATATATCATCTACAAATGTTGTTTACAAAGGAGCTTACCTAAATAAAAGTGATCAGTGAGTGAATAGTGTTGTGCCCAAACGGGAACGATGTGATAGATTTAACTAATTCAGCGAGAGTGCTTGTGATATATCGTTTTTGTGACACAATTTGAATATGGAAACACGTCACTATTGGGAAGAAAACGGACATCCCGTTAAATATGACAAGTGAGTGCTTATCTAAATATAATATAATATATGTTATAGATTACGTATTTATTTCCTATAAACTATAAATAACATGCTAATATTGTGTCTAGCCAGACATTGTTTACCAATATTACCTATGTTTGGTTTCAAGGTCGTTCTTTTACGTGGCCCGAACTGTCGAGACCTATGTACCTAGCAATTTTAAGTTTCACTTTATTATTAATATTCTTCGTATTATTTTATTGTTTAGCATTTACTTAGTTATGTATGTATGTATGTAATAAAATAATTCTATCTGATGCGTTTCACGAAGAAGTACGTACTAAAATAAGTAATATAATTATGGTTTGTAGATTATAAACGCAAATTGTAATAAGTAAATATTTAGGTAGTAAGTAAGTTTAATTAAAATAAGTCACCAGTTCTTACGTATTTATTTGTAAAAACCGATTTTTTTAATAAAATATAGCACAAATTCAGGATTGGGGACTTTGCCCCTAGCGGAGTGGGTGGTATTTCTGGATAAGGGACGTGATAGGGAGTCGAAATGTTAAATAAAAATTGTCCGCGAACGTATGAGTAAAAAGTTATTGAGACTTAAAGTTACAACATTTCCATACATTTTCATATATTTCTTTACCACCATTCGGAGTGGGTGGTATTTTTAGATAGGGGAGGTGACAGAGAGTCAAAATATATTAAAAATATTTGGAGGAAACGTACGAGTAAAAAGTTATTGAGACTTACAAGTTATAACATATCTAACACATTTCCATACATTTCTTTACCTAAATAAGTGATTACAACAGATAAACATACCTTTAACGAATAGTACGCATCCTTTTTTATGTACATTACACATTTTCACAACAATTAATGCTTTATTGTATTTAATATTTTAATAATTTCACAACACAAACAAAACGATCTTACATTTTGACAAAAGCAAAACTGACACTTTGTTTTATATTACCGCTTAAATGACAACAGATTATATTTGATTATTTTTGCTTTTTCTGTTGGTAAAATATTAATATTAATAAATAAATAAATAAAAAGAAAAATATTATTTTCATTTCATAAATACATTTATGATTTTTTATCTGATTTATGTAAAATATATTGTTTTACAATTGTACATTTAGTAAAAAAAAATCATTTTTTATCTGTGAATATTTTTCAGTATTATTGGCGGGTGTTCTTAAAATACCGCGAAGTTTCATAATTTGTTACTCTGTACCCTGTATTCAATTATTATTTTCCATTAGTTATTAGTTTTTGTTAATTTTTATATGCTTTCATTTCTTGTTTTTGTTTTAATATTATTTTTATAGTTTTAAGTGTTCATAGTGTTAGTGTAAACAATTTATAAACGTGAGTAGACTATTTTTAAAATCTAAATGTATTATTTACTTTTGGTTTTTATTTTGCGACATCGTGGTTAGTTTAAGACATAGGTTATTTATTTATTATTCGTCATATCTTGGTTAGGTTAGGTTAGAACATTTAAGATTATTTATTTATTATTCCTCATATCTGGGTTAGGTTAGGTTAGAACATTTAAGATTATTTATTTATTATTCCTCATATCTGGGTTAGGTTAGGTTAGAACATTTAAGATTATTTATTTATTATTCCTCATATCTTGGTTAGGTTAGGTTAGAACAGTTGCCACAACGCACGAGCCGAGCGAGCGAAGCGAGCGTGCCGCGGTAGCGGCCGGCGAGTGCCATAAATGACTAGAAAACTAGAAAATTCGAATTTCACGCAAAGTACAAATAAAGACAATCATCTGGAGATTATTTTGACAATTGAAAGTGACGTTTTGACTCCAAGTGTCTAAATGGTAGTAATGTCAAAATAATGTATGGAAATGTTGTAACTTTAAGTCTCAATAAATTTTTACTCATATGTTCGCGGACAATTTTTATTTAACATTTCGACTTCCTATCACGTCCCTTATCCAGAAATACCACCCACTCCGCTAGGGGCAGAGTCCCCAATCCTAAATCGCAGCCTAAAATATATACACGTTACAACTGATATATTTTTTACTATTTTATCTTCATTATACGGGATAATTAGATTTAAACACTATTGTAGCAAATTAAAATTGTTTTCATTGTTAAATAAATTACAGTAATAGGGTTACAAAAGTTCATTTCTGTAATTGCTTATTGGTTAATTTTAGATATTATCTAAGTTTAATATTAAATTAATCTGTTGGAAAACCTCTTATTTCTAAAATTGCACTCACATAGGAAAATAAAAAAATACAGGAAGCGTCATTAAATTATAAAATGTTCGAAAAAAATAAAAATGATATCACAATCTCAGTTATATAATTTCATGCTTAGTATTATTAAGGTCATCATGAAAATACAAATATTAGTAAAACTATTTGTACCAGAGCAAGTCATTAGTTATTTTTAAAATTTTAAACTCACTCTTTTTATCGGTGTGCTCTAGTCGTCGTTCTATATTACGAAACTCGGTTGACTGTAAACATTTTTTCAATCATAACAGCTCTTCATATCATATTTACTTTACTCTAAATGGGTTACTCCTCTTGCATGCATTTTTGATAGTACATACTAGTATTAATGGCTATTTAGTATTTAGAGTATACACGGGTTCTCCTCCTCAAAAATACTTATCAATGCAAGTGTTAAATACAGTCCAGAATAATACTCAGATTTGAATATCATATTAGCGCCTCTATCAGTTCAATAGTTTTATTTACAGTATATATAATCGTCGTGAACATAATAAATACTCCTACCATAAGATACCATTCATAATAAAATGATCCTGAAGAACTGCTCCTCGATGAACTAATAGAATCGTGACGAGGATAACTACATTTTAGGTATTCTTTCGTAGTTTTCTTCAGCATCTGTTTCTCACGCCATAAAAAAAATAGTTAATGAAATACATAAACTTTTTCTAGCACCTACCTAATTAACTGTAGCACTTAATTGATAATCTTAATATATGACAGATAATCTTGATTTACACTCAGACTTGGAATAAATATTTCTGTAGATAATAACTCTACGTACAGTAAGTACCTAGTTATCGTACCTTCAAAATATGAGGATTCTCAAAAACTACTGCTAGATGGTGCTAGATGATGATGAGTGGAAAATAGATTTATAGTGATAAATAGACTTACTAATTACCTGGTCGTTCTGTTTCACCGTTTCTCTCCGCACTTTAGGCCACGTCCTAAAGTCGGTGTCAAGTCCTCCTCATCGGCTACGTCACCCAATCTCACTGAGAATAGCCAACTGCGTAAATACCGCATCACGATTATGCAATATGATATACCTGAATCTATTAAATTGGGTGTTCTCACTCGCAATTTATAAGTTAACTCCTCTTTCTTGATTTGTTTCTCTATTCTAATACCAAAACACCTCTCAAAAGACCTCGCGAGGTCGTATTCTATAACGATACTTTAAGCAGATAATACGTTCTTGTCGCAAATGAGCGGTTTGGTGACAGTGAGCTGTTAAGTTTGTACTTTAATATAGACTAACTTTAGAGATCATATAAAATGAATAACGTCATAAGCGTTTGAACAGTTAGATTTCAAACGAGTACAGTACAAACATGCTGTTATAGGTTTATAATTTTTAGAGGTTAAATAAATATGTATCCGCAGTTATATTTTATACGAAAGACCATTTATTAGTGTTCTAGTAGTTAAGATTATAGTAGTTTTTTATCCTTGTACATCCAGGAATTTCCATGGGATATTAGTGTAGTGCCAAAAATAACATTGAGACGCGCATGAGCGAAACTCGGACGTTCACTCGTTACATAGTAATTATTAGAAATCGAATAAGAATTATAATAAAAAAAGGATGTAATTAGTTTGTTACTTACAGATTATTACTGTTCCATTAAGAAAACGAAATGGAACATTATTGTATATTCTGAATTTTACATGTAATTTTTATACCATAATATTGTGTATAAGCCAAATGCGTTTATTGAGTCTACGTGGTGCCAAAAATGCCATATTGTTTGGGTTATGTGGAAAGGAACCCATATACCTTCTTCATATGTGTCGTGACTTGACCGGTATTTCTTTTATTATAGCCATGCCCTCGAAAATTGCATTTTATTATGTTTAATTTACATTATGCTGATGTTACACGCGTTGGCATAAATACTTCCTTTAAGCTTGCGGCTGCGTCGAAGGATGCGCTCACTTACTTATCATACAGCCTTGGTGTAGGAGGGCAAAATAGTTCTTTCTTAGTTATAAGCTTATAGTACAATGTGATTCTTAATGGAAATCGTTAAAATAATCATGCATTCAACACTATCAGTCACGCATTCTGATAATAATTTACTACTACTATTATGTACACATAGTTATAAAATTATGGATTTTTTGTCAATTTTTTCACAATGTAGGTACTTTAAATATAATTTGTACGTAAAACAATAGTTTTTAATAGTTTTAATTTTACCTCTATGAAAGAAACGTCATAAGAAACTAGATCGACTAGTGTCGTCGCCACAAACGCGTGTTATGAAGAATACAAAAAAAAAAATAGACATTTTAAAATATATACTCGTAGGTTATTTGTGAAACTTTTAACGTTTAATTATTATCGTGAATTAATGTGTTTTGGATAATTCCATTAATGTTATCGAGTATTTCATTGATAATGTAAGTGTAACGGAAAATATTGATGTTTATTTGTTTCTTTCTTATTTTATTAAACCAACATGGGTAAGTATACATTTATATAGTAAGCGAAAGCAAAACTTATTCTTTCTCTGCTTGGTTTTCACGGTTAAATGACTACAGCAGTTTTTTGATCGACTTCAAAAAGAAGATGTACTCTATTCGGAAGCACGTTTTTTGTGTTAACGTTTTTAACGTCGATGTCTTCACCAATTATGATTGGAATGTTGAAATTGGATGAATTGTGAACCGATTTTTATAATTCTTTTATGAATGATTAGATTACATCTCAAGGGTGGTTCCATAAAAAATA